CAGCAAGATCCGATTCTCCAGACAGAATCAGTGTGTTGTAAGTAGTGATGGGTCATATCTGGAAGGTTCCCTGTTCATGCCCAGTGATTTTAACACCCTCTGCTCCTTCACCTACTCCGCTAATCCCATGGCTTGTGGATTCAGAGCTGCTGGGGACATGGGGCCATGGTTAAGGTGCATCGGTAATGAGGTGGGGGTGTTGACCCTACCTCACTACACTGGTGAGTGCAGATTGATGTATGGAACACGGGTGCTGCCCATATCCCGTACTAGCACTACTGAGGTCTTAACAGCACTCAAGCCTCTTGATCCCAAAAAGGCAGTGTGCTGTTGAAATACCTCACTGCCACGAATTAAAAAATTGTATTGGCCAAACATCACAAGTAGTCCCCCACCTGAAAAAGTTATTACTGATGTAGTGACTGGGAATGTCACTGTGTGGTGCCGGGCCTGCGAGGCCACAGTGGGATGTATACTGATGTGTGTACACCCCGGACACGGGGAGTAGTACCAGCCCTAGTGGGGGCTTGGGTGAGCGCTGGCTAAGCGCGATGGCACCACGCACAGCGTGCGGTGCGGGCTCCCGTTGAGAGAGCGAGAGAGTGTCAGCCAGCTAGGGTTACGTTGGGGGCATGGTACTCTGGCTGACTTGGGGGACACGTGACCGGATGATACTGGATGGGGGCCACCGGCGGAGGGGGCCAATGGGTGGTCACATGGTCTGGGAAGAACTCTCGAGAGCCTTCGGGCAAGGGCGAGAGAGATCGAGAAGGTGGGCGGGGCTAGAGGTGGAGCCAGCCCCAGCCAGACCCGATATAAGGGGGGTTCTGTGAGGGGCTCGGGGTTCTTGCTGTTGGAGAGGCAGGAGATCCACGTCAAGCTTGAAGAAGCCTCCAGCCACGCGGTCCGGGACCCAGCTTGTGGTCCGGACCGGGATAGTGGAACCGTGTCTAGTTCCGCCGTAGCATGGTTAGTTGGGTGGCCACCACCCGAGAGTATGTTGTGTTAATAGCCTGGAGTATGTTGTACAAATAGTTAATAAACGTGTTGCTCCCTAAGACAACATCTGCGACTCAGTTGGACTCACTACACTAATACAGAGAGTCGTGGCAAATTGTCACTGATATATAAGCTTCAATAAAGAATGAACAGTTAAGGCTAACCAGAGATTATTTCTTTCAAGATGGAAATGTAAAATGTATTAAAACACTATTACATTAGGTAAGCAATCATGGGACCTCCTTTGCCGTACCAAAATATGATCATAGGTTTTTCCCCTTTTTTCTGGCAACAAAACAGGTGTTAAGATGTTAAAACACCAAACTAAAACCTTTCACAGGGAATCATGTCTGCACCGTTTGAGACAAGGCTCAAAAAGAAAAAAAACTGTAGGAGCACAAATGCATTCATGAAAAAAAATCCATTGCTCTTGTGCCACACGTTTGTGTGTGTCACGTCAGTGGAAGGCTACCCGTGATTGCCATTGGCAGAACTGACAGTAGGGAGATGGCAGATTTGCAGGCATTGATCCATTGGCTGTATTAGCGAGGCAGTGCAAAGGGTCTCAACAACCGTCTGCTTGCTATACTGTACCCCTCTTCCTGTAGCCTGAGGCGTTTAATTCCATAGTGTGGAGAGTTTTTGTTTCTGATAACAAAAGCATAGCTTGAAAACAGTACGATTACAATGTTTTTTTGACATTTTTGTATTTGTGCTTTGTGTATGAGATAGTGTTTTACAAACCACATGGTGATATTTTTGTAAATTATCGTTTCATGGGTACCATGAGAGCACATGGTGCACTGTACCATAATTCTGGGAATCCATAATAAGGGCCCCTATTATTGAGCTTAAAATAATCACAGTCGTAAGTTCACATATATTTGTCGTTTATTTAAAACCAAGTTAAATGCCCATAAAATGCCCCCACTGCACGTTCAGCTCGGCGATCTCTGTTGGATTCTTGGCTACGGCTAACATCAAAACAAATCAAGTCGGATCAGTGTTTCTCCATCCTCGGTGAGGAGTGGGCGTTACCTGATCAATGAAATAGTAGTTGTGAGTTAGAAATACCGCTCCTGAAACTGGAGATTTCCACAAAGGGGTGTGGGGTGTTTACACCAGTCCCAGCAAAACAAAACACCTGCTCTGGTCCTTTGTTTCATTGAAGCAAGTGCACGTTCCCTCCTCTCCATGTGTAATAGGGTGGTGGCTGAGGGTGGAATTGTTCTGAACACCTAAGCAGTGCAATCATGAGCCCTAGTTTAGCGCCAAATGTCCCACTGAATCAGAAGAGTGGCAACGTCATTTCCTCGGCTGTATAAGAATGTTTGATAGCTGCCATATCTGTCACGAAATGTAAAGCTGTGGATATTCTCAGCCACAGTTATTTTGTCCTTCCTATACATTACAAAAAAATGGGATCCCCCTTAGAGGATGCCTGCACTGGCTGGATAGTTCACAATCATTACTCTTTGCGAGCGCTCTGGAAACAGAAGTGCCAGCACGCGTATAACACATTTAAAATCTGACCGGTTTCAGTCCCAGTCCTATGTGTGCCACCACACGCAACTGCTCACTTAATAACCAGTATTGAAAAGGTTTTGTGTCGCTTGATCACCAAGGAGTGACTGCACCTTGTTGCAAGCCACACTTGTAGAACCAGTCTGAGTGCTGTAGAATGGGCTTCAAATCAAGAGCAGACAGTATTGGGAACATTTAACTTTTGAATTTAAATTAAACTTTTTTTTTTACCAATTCACAATAGATGATCGTTTGCCTGTCTATTATTGGTTGTTCATCTAGATTGGCAATACTGGGAAGATCTGGAAAAAGACAGTTGGGCTTCTATAGCAGGCACAAGTGCGTTAGATAATTCATGTAGCCTGCATACCCAGCCACATTGTGCCCGTGCATATCTTATTTGGCTGGATACCAGAGGAGTTAAATGTACTGCACAGTCAGGGCTAGAGGGGAGATGGGCATATGTGATTAAAGTAGGATCTCGAGCTTAGTCGACTTATTAATGGACAGTGTCGGTGATGTCTTGTTATGTTACTGGGTAGCTGTGAAATATCTGCCCTCCGGTAACAACAGGTGGTGGAGGAGCAATGCTCACAACTATAAGCAGTGCATCAGGTGGCTAAAACAGCAACTTGGCATAATTTGGAATATAGTTGTGTGCCTGCTGTGCTATTAATGCAAAGTTCCTGCAGTGGTGTTACTAGAGTAACATCTATCTTGGTGTGCCTGAAAATCACTTCAAAGTATTTTTTGTCCTCAACAAAGTTTCAAACGCGTGTGTCAACCAGCTTGGCTACATATGCACAATGCCTGTTTTGTTCATGTTGTGGCCTTGAGAAGCTTTGTCTGATAAAAATTGTGATACAAATACTCATATGTTGCATGTTCAGGGAAATGGTGTCACAATGGATAGCGCATTGTACTTTGAACCCGTTGACCTAAGTTTATTTCCAGCCGTGATTAACATCAGTGGCGAGTGAAATCAGAACTGGTCCTGAACCCACACACTACACCAACCTGCACTGACCAGCGTGGTGATGTTTTGTCAAACAACCCCAATGACTGACAGCATGGGGCAGGCCTTCGTCCAGCAGTAAATTGATATAGGGCTGAAAATTATTAAATTAATCCGTGCAATGTGGTGAGGTGTAGATTGCTGTCAATGGCTTGGCTTCCAATGTTAGTTCTAGATCTTATTGCTACATTTGACATCAACCACTCTGATGTCCTTTGGAACACTGTCGCAGCTATTTAGGCATCTTGTGGTTAAAGCTGCCCATTTTATTTGGGCACAGGGGTCTGGCTTACCTTGCATATCACCACAGGAGACAACAGAAATAATGCTGAGAATAACTCGGGTCAAATTTTGATATCGCAGAATGTCAGGAGTCCCAGAAACTGAGGGACGTCCATGCCAGGTCGTACGTGACGTGGCATGTCGTACCAGGACACCCCATGGCTGCCCCCAGACAGTGATTCTTTAAAATATTTAAATCAAATGGAGATTTTAGTTTGTTGACATCTCCAATAGAGGATTACAGGGTAGATGAGACTAGTGAACTTGCTGTGTTCGAGTGCATTGTCTATACAGTCAGTATCACCCACATTAAATGTATGACCTTCACGCTGCGTCGCACATCCATGTGTGATATGCAGGTGAAAAAGGAGCTTCAATTCATCCTGCAATGTCGTGGCTCAAAGATTGTATTATTTACATTATGCTGCCTCTGGCAATACTCTTGGAAAAACAAATTATGCACATTGAAAACACTGATGTTACCTTCTCTTATACGTAGGATTCATGGATAAAAATGATTTTGGATAAGATGAGTTATTCTGCCTTGTATAAATGCATAATGTAATTTTCTATTCAATCATCATTACTGATGTGAGCTGTTATGAGCTTTGTCAGATAATGACATTAGCCTATTGGCCTGACATAAAAACATTACTGATAAGTATAATTAGTTTAAGCAAGCACATTTTTTTAACAGATTCAAGTATCGGGGTGTCATTGGCACAGTTGGGTCCTTGGTTTTGACCTGACAGGCCACAGAACTTATGTGGATGGCCCTGGCCAACGACATTACAGTGTTTGTTTAACAGGCCTGACTGGTGATGTGACTCAAAAGGTCAAAACTGGTGTATACTTTGCTTGCTTAAACAAATGTTGCAGTAAACATTTTTCCAGAGGGCCAAAAGGTCATTTAACTGAAAATATTTTATTTTAATGTGGGGAGATGGGCTTTTGCTTGCTTAAATAAATGTTGCAGTATGGTAAACATTTTTCCGGAGGGCCAAAAGGTCATTTAACCGATAATATTTTAATTTAATGTGGGGAGATGGGCTTTTGTCTGTTTATGTATTCATATATATAAAAATGTTTTTGTTAAATTGGACACCAAAATATATTCCATGCGATATTATAAAATAAATGTTTTTGTTAGGATAAATGACTTGTGTTTGTGTTTTTTAAGCAATCAAGAGTTGAGCGGTGGGGATGGAGGGGTTGGAGAGGAGGAGGAGAAGGAAGACATATCTCAGCTGAGCCTGGTGGAGAAGATGGCCTTGTTTGACCGGCTATCTCGACCACTGCCAGCGCAGCAGGCCTCCCCATGCCAGGCCTCGGACACACGCAGCCGTCGTACTGGCTCCCGATACCAGACTCAGCCAATCACAGCAAGTGAAGTGCAGCAAGTGAGTGCAGGGATGGTTTAAGTGCACAGCATCTATCACAACTAAGGCTGTTTATTTCAGCGTTTTTTTTTTGTCTGCAATCATTTTTAGCTTTCGGTCAAAATATTACTATTGGATAGTCGCACAGAAAAAACATATACATATACGTACTCTTCGGTTCTTTCGGTAAAGTCACGTAGGTATAAAATAAAATAAATCACGACGTTTCGGGCGCAACACAAGCATCCGTCATCAGGTGGGAAAGCATGGTCTGCTGCTTTAAAAACTGCTTTAAAACAGTCTGCATCAGCAGCAGGCCATGCTTTCCCAGTCTGCCTCAGCAGCAGGCCATGCTTTCACAGTCTGCATCAGCAGCAGGCCATGCTTTCCCACCTGATGACGGACGCTTGTGTTGCGCCTGATACGTCGTGATTTCTTTTATTTTATACCTACGTGACTTTACTGAAAGAACCAAAGAGTATGGATTCCTGCAATCACGAAAGCTTCAAATCAAGATATACATATACGCATTGGGCTTTGGCAGGACATGTCACGATAAGGGATGATACCCGCTAGTCATGAATCAGTACTGAGTTATAGCCAGCAAATGGAACACATCCGAGAGGGCATCTACTGAGGATATGGAATGATGAAATCGGTCTGTGTGCAAATGCTGGATGGATTGTTACATCTCAGGTGCAGTACAGATAAACCTTATAAACCATTATGCTCTTACCTGATCAATTTTGGGTAACAATGTAATCTAAATAAATAATCTGTTTCAACATCAGAATAAATAAAAATGTTCTATCTGGACTAATATTTTGCAATGGCATTTGTTTAAGTAAGGTAAGCCCTGGACTGATGTTGACCTCTTTGAGTTGTAACAGCAGGGAGTGGACTTAAGCAAATGTAGCTGGAGGTTGTCATCTGTGCAACATTGGAGGGAACTGGTATAAGCATGAAAGGATGCAAGGTGTGGCGGAATCAACGGAAATTGCCCAAGATTATCTCTTAACCTTGAAAGTTCATGGTTTATTTGAATGATTTTCAACATTAATTTCTTTGGCCATTTTTGAAAACCTATTTAAAATGCAGCTTCAGTTTTCAGTTTCAGTTTATTTATTGTGGTATAGCCCTGTGAGCCATTCGGCTCTTGAATCGGGTGCAACCACAACAACAAAAAAAACACGAACAAGAAAACATCTTAAAGTAACTGTGTGACTGTGCAAACAGAAAATCCATGAAAATAAACAGCAAAATATTCCTGAAAAAAGCACCGTACACCAACGCTGTGTGCAAAAAAATCCCAGTGGGATGCAAGTCAAACAACAACAACCACAAGAAAACTTCGATTAAGGCCATCAGTCTAAACTCTGTACTACAACAAAACAAACATGTCCAAACCAAAAAACGTTTTCGAAATCACCAAAAAATAAAGCCGTAATTGCAACGTAAGAGTGATCATAGGGACTGTGACCGAATTTTTACAGCACTTTGCCCTACTTAGAATAATATTCTAGAGACGCATTGTCATTTTGCTCTATTTCATATTATTCCTTTTTTTGCTATTAACTTTCTAAAAGTTATATTCTTGGTTCTTTCGGTAAAGTCACGTAGAAGGGAAACAATAAAATAATAAAAATATGAAACAATAAAATTATCACGACGTTTCGACTGCAACACAAGCAATCATCATCAGGTGTGAAAACCACAGCAAGAAAATTTGAAAAAAATGGCGGTTTTTTTAATGTTAGCACCACGGAGAGCGATTTGGCAGTTATTGAGATGGACGAGCCCATCTATGTTCTGAAAAGAGGAGGGGGGAGATGAAAATAATGGATGCGGTCTGAAAGCCACCGTAAGCGTGAACAATCAATTAAGACCCGAAATGGTTTATCAAATCCTTCCAATGATTGCTAAGCCAGAATCCATCTTCTCAGTTGAAATTGCCTCTGTGTTTGTATATGGTGGATAGCCTCATGAACGAATCTCTCATGGTAGCCAGATGGCTTGCAGATAACCTCTGTCTTGGAGAAGTCAATGTCATGTGAGCCTACTGAATTATAACAGTAATGTATATGTAATACAGTGAAACCTCATTCTAATGTTTTTAAGGTGATGAGAAAAATCTCATTCGAATACGTTGGATTCAAGAAATGCTATTTTCTACCATAAAAGCACACGTAGGTCATGCTGCCTATTTCCGCTTCTACTCATATCCTCTCTCACTCCATCCCTTTATTACGCTGTGTCCTCTTCACCTGCTTCACAAGTTTCCCAAGCCGTGCGCATCCTCACACCACACCATGCTGTGTCTCCGCTTTGCCTCATCTCTCGCACTACGCCCATCCGCATCTCACTCGACGCATCTTTCTCCTGACTCCACACAATCCCTTGTCTTTCACTCCAGTAACCTTCCTCTTCCGCATTGTCTGGTAGGGGTACACAATACCTGATTATGCGGTAAGTGGTAGGAGGATGCTTGTGCTGGAACATTTTTACATTGTTTCATTTGAGATTTTTGGGACCACAAAAACAATACATGAGGGAAAATGAAAGAAATAGGATCATAGAAATGTGGTTTAACTCTTCAAAAGTAAATAATCTTTCATATGTATTGTATGCGTTTGTGTGACCATTTTAGAAACCTAAAATATGACTTTATGTTTTCAGATCCAGGATGGTGCAGCCTCAGGATCAGTGAGTGAAGGTGGCCCTGGTCAATGGACTGAAGCGGTTGAACAGAACTTCTCCCAGGGCTCCGTGCAGCTGGTCACACAAGAATCCTCCAAGCTTGGCCGGCCTAGAAGTTTTTCTGCTGGACAGGAAGTTACCGAGGCTTCATCCAACAACAATTCTAGTTCGAATGTAACCAGGACTGCTGGAGAAAGAGAGCTGCGTGGAGATGATATGCCTGGAACTACTCTGTCAGTGTTCCAGAGCACATTCAAGGAGAAAACTCAAATGGAACAGGAAACAATTAAAACATTGCTATCTGGAAAGCTGCATCATGATCATGGGAGATTGGGAGATACAAAGCAGTTGGAGACAGTGACAATCGACAATCCCAAGAGCTTTTCAGGCCAGCATTTGACCAGAGACCAATCAGAGAAAGCCACTACAAAACAGTCCACGGTTACACAAACAGAGAATTCTGAGAGGAAAATGAAGTCTGAAGTTGCTGCTCGGCACAAGGAGGATGAGGCTGGGCAAGTGAAGCAGAGTGAATATAGTGTTGAGGCAACTGAAGAATCTCTAGCCTCTGACAACCAACTGGGTGTGGACAGAGACGACAGGAGAGATGGGCTGGAGCATCGGGACAGGAGCCAAGGGGGTGGAGAGTGGAGGGGTGGGGATGGAAGGAGTGAGGATGGGAGGAGGCTGGGGAATCGGGCCACGGACGCTGACAGCCCAACACAGGGCAGAGCTCTTCCAGGACATGGTGAGTGCCGTTAATTGATTGTGATGTTTGTTAATGTGCAGCAACAAAGCAGACACATTACTTATTGCTGAACAGTTTCATTTGTTAGAAAGGCATACGTGAAGTTAAACTGTGCTTTCAATATACTCGTACAAGTTTTTTGGTCTGCTTTTATATAACTTATCTCTTTTTTTATTTGACATTCAATGAGTGTGATGTGTTCATACATTACTCAAATGTTTAACCCTCCATAAAGCACACGTGTAATAAGAGGGTTTAAAAATGAGTTATTATTGACGCTCTGGGCCTTCTGGAGCCTGCTTCATAAGTGCGTGCAATGTATCCTTACACTTTGTGAACAGTGCCTCTGCTTGGTGAATAACTTGCCAACGCACGTGTGCTGCAAGTTTACTGCAAAGGAATGAGTGTTAATTTTCACTTCATAATTACAATGTTTTGTTTGAAGTCTGTAAGATTAAAACGACTCTTCCTGAGAGTATTGTTACAGTTGATCTGCCCATAGGTTGCTATTAGTCACACATGAAGAGGATGTTTTTGGTGTAATTGATAGAGGGGGTGAAGCGGTGGCGCACTGATTTGCACGCTATACCGTGAACCCGGCGACATAAGTATGATTCCCTGTCTTGGCCAAGTTCAGTGGCGAGACATACATTTGTGCTGACCATCGAGGTGAATTATGGTCAAACAACCCCCAAGACTCGCATTGTAGATTGGATTGACAAAGGGCTGATTGATTGTTATTTTTGTATACAATGAATAAACTATTAATGTAAATTATGAATCCTTTTAAAAAGCATACAAACCTATAACACTGAAGTGGGCAGATGCGAGTTGTTTGAAAAGGGACCCCTTTTTCTAGATTAAATCATTACACTTCCTGTTTATAAGGTGGCGCTCAAGGCCCCTCAACAAAAGGGTGCTTGAGTCGAACCACAGTGGGCACAGCCAAAGGCCGCACAGTGCTCACGTCCATGAGCCCATTCCATCCCAACCACAGCTGGGCGCGGCACATTCGGACCACTCTCGTCTCGTGTGCCCAGCTCGGTGGCCTACAGTTTTAGCTCTGTACCGTCCATCTCTCGCGATCATCTTGGCTATCTTCAGCAACAAGCGACTGTCCCCTGATTGTAAACATTAAAGAGAGTCGATTGCAAGAGAGGCAGACCTACTGTGACGTTGTACAAAGATCACACTTGGATAAAAAAAAACGTGTATTTATTAATGTGCGGTCTCAGAGATTTATTGTAACCCATCTGGTAATGTTACCTGGCTTCCAGGGTGCAATGCATGCTCATGGTCTGGTGTCACGTCTCGACTAATTTTCCAAGAGGCTGTTTACTTTTAGTCAGTGGAGGTTTCAATTTATTTCTCTGTTATTTATGTGCGTTAATGGCTGCGCAGAAAAAAAATTCGTGTTTTTTTTCACGTTGATAAATTACATGAGATGAATCGTTGCTTTTAATAATGTACGCAGATTTTTCTGACCAAACGTCTCATACGAGGGAGACTGTTGGAGACACCTCTCCCAGTGGCATGGCAACTGCACCATGGCGACAGACCCGTCTACAGCAAGTAATCAATGACAAGCAACAACTTTCCAGCCAATCGGAATTGATTTCAGGGAGCAAAACAAATACACCATCTGGAGGCAGCAATGCCATCGGGAACAAGAGTGAGCTACCTACAACACCGAACCTGATGACCACAATGTCCATCAAAGACAGGTACTAATACTGGGATGCACATCTGCAAACATTGGCCACTGAAATGATTAGCTTTTTTTTAAAACTTAATTTGAAGTAAATGGATGAGGAAGCCATATCACTTTTCAGTCAATGCATGACATTTTTTACGTCTAAAAGCATCACCGAAGTGTGTGTTTCTGCCATTGCTCTGTTCCGTTATATTTGATGCTCATTGCATGCATTGATTGCCGATGAAATATTATGATGTAGCATTTTGTTCTTGATGCTGATTGTAGTCTATTTACATAGAGGAAGCAGTGGGGTTTTTTTTGTCCAAAGGGTTTATTTCGGGAACCACCTGATGTTGCCGAGTGTATATAAAACAAACCATAACTGGATTCCTTCATGCAGCCAATTTGTGTTGACCGCATTCATCTGCACCAGTGGTGGAGCAAAGACGGAGTTAGGAGGGTGGATGATGGATTGAACAGAGGCTGTGCATAAACGTAGAGCTTGTGTTAAGCGATTGACCATGAGGCACTAACTAAATAAAGACAAAGTAAGAATAAAAATATATACATAGTTAATGTCTTGGAGATGCATATCTGGCCCTTGTTCCAGGCTGTCTGGCAAGAGTTTGAAGAGTCGTTCAGGAGAAAATAATACTTTAAACTGACTTTCAGGCACATTGCCATATGTCAATGTCAGTGACATTGTATTCGAAAGTACAGAGTTACGCCACAGTCAATGTTGTACTTGGTGCCAGTGATGTTAGTGTTTCCACACACAAATACAGTATGAAGTTTTATTTTAACTGTTAGAAAAGCAATATTGCCTCCTTTTCACTGATGGCATCACTCACTTTAGAAACGCTGTTTTTTTACATGGTTAAAGAATGCAATAATAAAACGTTATTCATTGCCACAGTACATTAAAGTTTTCAAGTTCTATACATTTTTGTATTTTTAAATTAACAATGTGCACCTATTTTTAAACACAGTTAATTGACCCTGATTGAAAGGTTAATGGAACACAGTGGTGAGCACTCACATTCTGACTGCGAGCCTAAACGGTTGCCATTTTGGTGCTTGCACTGTCAATCCGATGAGACTGAATTGATCGTGTACTGCGTACCTTTTTGGCACGTTTAACAAGAGTCCAACCGGCTAATATTGTGGAAAAAGACAGGGCTATGTTTGTATCGACATATAATCTACACGATCTATGCAACAACAAAACCATTTTAAAAACAGCAGTCTTTGTGAAGTTCATAGACAACATCTGTGACTTGTGGTGCACATCTTTGAGTCATCATTATTTACAATTAAGCTACGGAGTGCACAGATCCTATAACCTAGCAACATTTTCTGGAAGGAATTGGGAATGTTTGGTTACCAATGGGATTATACAATTTTTGAAATTACATTCTATCTTTTCTTAGGCTGGAGCATGTCATGCCTCCACATGCCCTATGCAACCTAGGGTGTGGCCTTGAACATGCCACAAAAGCCCGCCAAAGATTAGAGGTTTTTTTGATCATTTGCATGGGGCCTGTGTCAAATACTGCAGGGTTTCAGATGCTGGGAACCTTGGTTTTAAAAGCTTCACCAAAGTATTCACGGGCTCATCTGTGGGTTTGAGCCGCAGCGAGTAAGCGGCCTTTTTATAAAGGGAGATGAACCACCTTTTACAGAGATTTGTAATAAAAACCAAGTACCATATGTTTTTCAGTTTATTTTATAGCTAATGTATAGAGTGGTCCAAATGTCTTGTGACCCCCAATTGTTTGACCCCTAACATTTGTTGTACATTTGCATGTTCATTTCTGTTTTCTTGCTTGACTTTAAACAAGGGCTTTCCTGACTTTGCCAATGTAATTAATCTGGTTAGACTGGTAGAGTGAGGTCCCATTTGTATACAGGACCATTCAATCCAGCTTACCAGGCAGTAAACTTTTTTATGTTATTTTTTAAAACACTCCTTAACTTTTTCTTGCTGAACTGCCATCACACCCACAATTGCCACATTTTATTGATGTCATTGATTTACCTGTAGTACAAATATAGAATTATTAACATGCATGGTTTTTTTTAATTTATGCTTTCTGACCCCCACAAATAAATATAAATAAACTATACATAAATATTCAGTTTTTCCTGTTTTCTGCTCTGGATGAGGCACTGTGTTTAAATGTTAGCCTAATAGAACATTTTCTGCGTCGGTATTATTGAGCTGCAAACAGTGTTTCTCAAGTACATTAAATGAGTCATCTTGGCTTTTTATACTTCTCATTAATAGGTGTGTTTAGTGTTCAAATTATTTTCTATCCTCAGTGCATACTCTTAAATGTCAGTGGCGTTTACCTCCTTGTGTTGGGCAAAATGCAAGTCCATTCATGCTCTTGCGTCTCTCAGGCTTTTCTGTATGTCTCCCCATAGATTTAGAGCAGACCCTCTATATTCCAACTTTCCTTTTGTCCCCCCTCACCCCTCCCCCGTAAGTGCGTGGAGGGTCTCCCTGTGGATCCCATGTTTCTCCCGTCGTGTCTCCGAGAGTCTACTTTAGCAATTTGTATTCGTATTTCTCCAGTACATCCTTTGTGCCATGGACTCTGGTGTTTTAGTACTGTTAAGGCTTTAGCTTATGTATACTTCAGCAAGAGCAAGATTTCACTGTGTGGATATATGTGGTGTTTTTAAACAGATTATGTGTTTCTTGAGCCATGCCGTATGGCAAAAATGTAATTGCTCTGGGGCCTCTCTGCAGACTGAGCTCATTGCAGAAGAGTGGTAACGAAGACTGGAAAAACCGCTCGAACAAGCGTTCGGGAGACATGAAGATCACAAGGACTGAGCTCTTCAAAAAGGTATTTCACCATAAGGGTGTTGTAGTGCCTCCATCTGTATCATCTTAGATTGTTGCTGGAGCATATATTTAAAGTCTTAAGTCTGTTTAACTTGTAGTGGTTCCAGAGCTTTAATGTTAGCTGGGAAACGGACATATTCTTGAGTCCTAAACTTGATATTTGATTCCCAGACTACCCACTCTTCTGTGATTTACTGTCAACCGTTCTTCCGTGATAGAAAAAGCTGAAGCAAAACATTAGTTCTCATGTTTTTCCTCTCCTCTCTGAGCAAATTAGATTCCAATTCATTTATCCCAGTTTTGTCTCCATTCCCACAACATTTGAATAGTCAAATCCAAAATGCATTCTGTCTTATAGCCCCTGTCTAGCTGATGCCATGGTTTGCGAAACCAAGAGCTTCCAGGGAGTGAGGGCCATAGTTTAGGCTTTGTCCATGAGGGGAGATATACAAGTACCATACTGGTCAATGCACGTTGGTAAAGATAGGAGCACGCTACGAGGTAGCGCAGAGTTGCAGTTCGTTTACTGCAGAGAGAACTACAACAATGTATTAATTTACCTACTGGAGTAATAATGATGCATCATTCACAATAATAGTTTCTCTAGCGGTTAACTGTTACAGTCATACTGGAATTACAGTTTACGACTGAGTGTAACTGTGCTATTAGAAGAATCACTCGTAATTGTAATTTAATGCAGTAATGTTGTCTATTACTGCTTTGTACTGTTATTCTATTCAGTGGTGTTGCTTTATTTGTATTATTGTTTATTATTAATAAGTTAACCATTGCAATTGCCAATTTAGAATCTCTTTAATATCAAGGTAGTTTTTATAAAATATATATATTCCAATGAGGCTTTTTTGGGGTTCAATAATAGATGATGTTGCCAATGTAATTCCATGGCAACCAATGGATACCTTTCCTTTCATAATGCAGACACTTAAGAATTTTTTTTTAGTTCCATTAAGGCATTCCCTTAGGGCAGAACCATTTTACCTTTGGCACGTTTTAAATTGGGGAAATATTTAAAGTGTAGCATTGAACCAGGCACTGTAGTGGAGCACAGACTGTGTAGAAGATGGACGGCATTTGTTTGTTATCCAAAACATTTGACTGAAAATGACCAAATCAGAGAGTTTGCAAAGGGGACATGCTTTTCACGCAATTGATGTTTTCCATTTGGAAAGTGATTTTTGCCTGGGTCAGTTGAGGGGGGGCAGGGCTGTGGTGCTGTCAGCTATGATATTTGAGATGGAATGTTAATTCCCTAGAGCACAAACCCCATCTTTTGCTGGATAAGTGAGCCTAATTGAGGGATAAATAATACATTATATTTATATTCAACATTCATTAAACAAGTGTGAGCACAGGATAATTACTGAGAGCTAAACAAAAGTGTAATTCATTCTACTGCATTATCTTTGATAACAGTTGCTCAGCACAGAGTATTCTGGTTACCAGACTGTCGACTATCCTTCGTCATTAAGTACATTGGGAATGGTACACTTGGTTGAGTTTATACTCTTTGGTTCTTACGGTAAAGTCACGTAGGTATAAAATAAATTAAATCACGACGTTTCGGGCGCAACACAAGCGTCCGTTATCAGGTGGGACAAACACAGCAAGAAACAATTTATTTTATTTTATACCTACGTGACTTTACCGAAAGAACCAAAGAGTATGGATCCCTGCAGTCACGAAAACTTCTAATCTAGACTTGGTTGAGTTTCTTTTGAAAATGTATACTTGCAAGCTCCACCACCCATCCCATCCCTTAATGGTATGATGATCATCAAGAAGCATTAGCAATCCCCTGCTACATGAAGGCCATCACCATTCCTCACAGTCTTTCAATATCATCATCCATCTCACTGCTCTACAGAAGGGGAGTCGGGCGAGGAGTTTAGACGAATTACATTATATAAAAGTATTATAGTCGACATGTTTATCCACAAATATAATAATTTCTTCATGGACGATGCTTTGCTTAGGAGGGCTATCAAAACCAGCTTGCTGTATTGCTTTAGGCTCAAATCTTTGCTGTTTCTCATTTTTTTCCTTTCCCATAATCTGCATCTTCTCAATTTCTATAACCCTCTTGGCATGCAGGCAGGGTATCCCAGTGCTCCTGAGTCAGATGCAGGGGCTGGCACCTCTCAGCTCTTGGTAAGATGATGAGCTTTTCTTCCACCTACCACTTTCTGCGGCTGTTCAAAAACAACCGCTTTAGTAAACGTGTTTACTTGTTTACTAAATCATGGAAACTTGGGATGCCTTGCCAGCTGATTAACATAGTTTACATGATAATGTGTCAATGGATCCCAAGCAAGTAAGACTTGACTTAAAGCTTTCGTGACTGCAGGAATTCATACGCTTTTGGTCTTTCGGTAAAGTCACGTAGATTTCTGTCCGAGACCTTGCTTCCATTCACTGGCAAGACCACCTCAGTTGTACTTAATTCAGCTCACTTGGTATCTATAATTAAAGACATCTCACTATCTCCAGGTGATTTGCTTGTCAGCTTCGATGTAGTTCTTTGTTTATCAAACTTCCTGTGCCTGACACCATTGCAATCATTGAAGATTTGGTTCAACAAGGACTGAATGCTGATGTACCAGCTCTGGTGACAAACTGCCTCACCGACACTTACTTCACCTGGAATGGTACATTCTACAAACAAGTTGAAGGAACCCCAATGGGGTCTCCCTTATCTCCAGTGATAGCCAATGTTTTCATGGAAAAATTTGAGACATGCCATCCAGGCATCCAACCTACATCCTTCCTTGTGGAAGAGATACGTAGATGACACGTTTGTCATCTGGCCACATGGCCTGCCAGCACTAAACCAATTCTTCAACCACATCAATTCCATACACCCAGCCATCAAATTCACCATGTCGGTGGAAAAAGGATGGCAAGTTACCATTCTTGGATATTTTAATCGAAAAGAGACCAGATGGCTCATTGGGACACTCTGTTTACAGGAAAGCCACCCACACAGATGCCTATCTAAAACCTGACTCCCACAACCATCCAACCCAAAAGGATTTCCTCATCAAAACTCTACACCATCGTGCTCGTTGCATTTCTGACCATCACCACCTAGCCAGTGAACTGGAGCATGTACACCAAGCCCTCAAGATGAATGGATATTCGGACTACACAATCCGTAAAGCTATCACCCCAACCGTTGGGAGAAAACCATCTGAGGACCCAATCAAAACCATCACCTTGCCATACATAGCAGGGGTTACCAAAAATATTTCCAAAATCATGAGTAAACACAAGATCCAGATTCGATTCAACACAGTACATACAATTCATGATCTGTGAAGGATGTGATCCCTGACATGCAATACCCCGGTGCCTACAAACTAAGCTGTGGTTGCGGCAGTAGTTACATTGGGGAAACTAAGCGACATGTCTCGGACTGTGTTCGTGAACATAAGGTAGATCTGAAACACGGTAGGACCAATACCTCGGCCGTGGCTGATCATTGTTTTAATGCTGTGGGCATACACGAAATTGATTTCTCCAAGACGAAGGTTCTCTGCAAACCTACTGGCTATCGACAAAGATTCGTTCATGAAGCTGTTCCAGGTATATAAACACAGACAAAATTTCAGCCGAAAAGATGGGTCAAACTGAGCAATCATTGGAAGGACGTTATTAACCAGTTTAAGTCATAACTAGCTGTGATGTTTCCATCCTACCTAGAGACACACACAGATACAGAGAGAGAGAGACACACATAGACAAACAGAGAGACAACCAGGCTATGAGTTAACTGTGTTAACCGACTCTGTGTTGCGTTGCATTACACTTCCTAATTTTACTAAATTTGTTTTCTCAAACTTCCTATTTCTCTCTCTAAATGTTGCCGTGCTTGTTTGTTTATAAGTCCATTGTCTCTCCTCCGGCCACTATGATCTGGAATTGCACACAACTCTCTCATTGTTCCGTGCTTGTTTGTTTATAAGTCCATTGTCTCTCCTCCGGGTGCTATGGTCTGGAATTCCACACAACTCTCTCATTGTTCCGTGCTTGTTTGTGTATAAGTCCATTGTCTCTCCTCTGGCTACTATGGTCTGGAATTCCACACAACTCCCTCATTGTTCCGTGCTTGTTTGTGTATAAGTCCATTGTCTCTCCTGTGGCTGCTATGGTCTGGAATTCCACACAACTCTCATTGTTTTCTACCCCATTCCCCCCCCTCTCTGTCTGCCCTCCCCTCTCTATCTCTCTATTTAAGGCCTTGACACCAGAGGCGTTGTCTCTCTGTTTGTCTGTGTGTCTCTCTCTGTGTGTCTCTGTGTGTGTCTCTATCTGCTTGTGTGCCTATCTATGTTTCTCCATGTCTGTGTTTTGTCTCTCTCTCAAATTTAGCAACGTAATCAACCAGGTAGGGTGTTGACTTTTGTGTTAGCCGACTCTCTGTGTTGTATTGCATTATATGTCTAAGTTTACTATGTTTTCTCATTCACTCTTACCTGATGATGATTGCTTGTGTTGCAATCGAAACGTCGTATTCTATTATTTAATTTATTTTCTTTCTACTTGACTTTACCGAAAGAACCAAAGATTATTGACCAATACAGTTAATACTCTTTCATTGACAAGAAAATAACATCTTGGATGCAATGGTGATGTTCTAGTATACCACCATAGCAATTCCTATTAACGTCACTTTTATGACAGTGTTACATTGTTACTTCTTATTTGTATATGGGGACGTTGTGAGCATGTGCGTCTTAGGAAAATCACCAAAACCCTGAAGCATTCACAAGCTTGTTGATGTGTATTCTTAATGCAGTTAACAGCTGCACATTGAGGTGTCAGTGCAACCTAAAACTTAATCCAAGTAATTTCCAGAGGTTCATAAGAATCCTTGAGATTCCTGGATTGTCTCCTGTCCCTGCCATATGCATGGCTTCAGTGTACACAAAATAATGCACAACACTGGACACAATAGCTAACATTACACAGTATCCCCTCAAAACAAAAACATGCACAGTAAGATATTGTTCTCTAGATTTACCATGCTTATTGGCAAGACGCTTTAGGCGTATACTGAAGGTTTAAAACCAGCTATGAATAGGTGAGGAACAGAGCGTTGAGAGAAGGATTGCATCCTGGTGGTTTAGAAAGCTCCTTTAGGTAGCTTCTGAACAGAGAGCAACCACAGAACTCAGTGGAATTACGGAGAGAGAAACATAACTTGAACAAGTCAAAACATATTGAAGTGTTGTTGAAAATAAGTAACCATGTAGATTTCAAAACAACTGAAACCTGGTAAGACTGGCAGGGTGGTGAATAATACACCTTCATTGGCCACTGCTAACTATGTTGATCCATCAATCATAGGACATTGTCTAATGAGTTATGCAATGTTTGTGGATGTTCAAGCAGCATAAAATATACAGTTTTATGGGAAGTTAGACTTTTAAGAAAACCACATCATCATCATCATATATTTATCCTCCATAATATAATATATATTTATCCTGCTTTATCCTTACAAACTTTACCAATCTAGATAACATAAACAAAAAAACTAAAAACCCAAAGAACTTACAGAATAGGGGCTGGGTTTTTTTGGTGAGCTGTGACTATTCAGGTATGGACAGGTCGAATTAACTTTTTTAATTTCCATAAAAGTATATTTTCTATCTCAAGTTATGAGCGCAATATGGACACAATTCATGGGAAGTTGATGGTGAGGCTCAAACTGACACAGGGAGGCCACAGGCACCCAAGATGCTCTCCGAGGGCCCTTGAGGGCCAGTCCTCTGGAGCAGCATCCTGCTGCTAATGATTAATGCTTCATGGTGTACCTCACTCTGTTTACGTCCAGGCAAAAGCACGCCAAGCCTCCAGTGTTCACATGCTGGTATACCAGTGCGCAAGCACTGCTATCTTTGCACACAGATGCAGGTGGTATCGTCTTTCGTGCATATTGCAATCCCTGGATTGTTAGCATGGTGTTTTGTGCTACAGCCAATGCCACGGTGTAGTTCGGTAACTTTTCACGTTGTAGACAATCACTGGATTTTATCTGAAAGGATCAATGTGGATTATTATGGTGCATGAAAATTCTAGCTGCATTTTATTTCCTGTAAAAGTGTTCATAGTTAGTTCAAAGTAATATTTTTTGCTGAGTTTATGCTGTTGTTGAGTATTCCATTTTCAATGGAAAATATCCTGCTATAAAGGATAGCATAAACACATATTTTGGTTCTGGTAGCAATTATAATAAGTTTGGCATCAAGAAAGCTCATGGTGTTTAGCATCATGACATATTACAAAGCACTACATGGCATACACAACAATGTTCGAGTAATGTATTGTTATTTATATCAATCGTATCTAATTGTACTGAAAACACACCTGATGACGACCGTTTGTGTTATGGTCGAAACGTCGTGAGAATTTTTATTGTTTTATATATATTTTATTATTTTATTGTTTTCCTTCAACGTGACTTTACCGAAAGAGCTAAGAATATGAATATAATCTTCGGGAGCTTACATCACTTTAGTATTGTCACGATACTCCTTGTGAGCGTGGTGGTGAAAATGCCATGTTCCTCTAGTGGCTTGTTCTCTCCATAGAACAAAAACCCTCTTAACGAACACAAAGGGGTATCAGTTTTATTGACCCGAGAGAGATGATGGGCTGAGTCGATTTCCAACAAGGATTCAAACTCTTAACCAGCTGATTGTGCTACTGCCGCCAATGACGCTCGCCATGAAAATATGCCAATGAAAAGAATGCTTTTCAATTTTGTTTACAACCTTTTTTGTAAATGAATGGAAGAAAAAAAAACTACTTATACATTTTTATAAATAAGGTTGTTTAGATCCACCATGTGAAGGTTTGTCTATAAATGTATCATTCTTTAACAAACTGAGCAGTTATCATAGGTTAGCATATTTTTGTTAATAATCGTGTTTCATGTCAATTCCTCTTAACATTTAAAGATGTATTCTTAATGTATTCCTTGTGCAGCATTTATATAGAATATTACTGGCCCGAGGTGCATTTCCAGTGTATGCATTATATTCATGCCATATCGTTGGAATATTCCAACTGATGATTCATAATTACTGATATATTGACAGGTTTTTTTTTAATGCATGCAATATTGTGCTTGTAAATTACATTCAGGTAGCTCCCTGGTTTTATCTTTCAAACCTAAGCTCTGCTCTTTATCTCTTAAATTCTTGCATCTGATATTCGTTTCCATGCTGTTTTTGCTATTCTTCCTTCTCTGCACTGTGTTGACCTCTCCAAGGGACCTGTATTTGCTTCCGTTTTTAACCCTGCTCTCTTTGCGATCCATCAAAACAAGTACGCTATCCACTACGACAAGGTGAGGTCTAGTCTAGGCCATTTTATAATGGCAGCTTTTTCCCTTAATCTCTTGTTCTCGTGTGATATCTTGGCCAGGACACTTAACTGGCAACTGTTTTAATTTGACAGAGCATCATTATTTCTTTGGGATGAATACTTGATGCACTGATTTCAAGACCATATTCTTCATCAGAGCAAAACCGATTAACATTGAAACTTGAAACTAACAGGAAATGGTATTGAAGAGGTCGTGCATGCTCCTGGGAAATTCCAGTAATGTGTTCGAAATCACAAAATCCCCTCTACCAGGATGCCTCTCTCCCCTCCCAGTGTGTATATTATACTGTACGGACACTGCAGATTGTAAAATAAAAAGACAATTGCATGAAAAATAATTGAATTTGCATGAACCTATTTTAAGGATAATTGCTTTCAAGTGCTATCCATTGAACTGATAATATGAATAAAACATTCTTAGTCAAATACATTTCCTTCCAAACTAGCTAAGGGGAAAAAATACCTCCTATTTGCAACCCTCACCAACCATTCTTACAAATAAAAAATATATAAATGAGGTGGGGGAAAGGAGGTTGTTTTACTAATAGGATAACCACTTTAAACTTTCCACAAAGTGGCACCAATTTTATTTGCCCCAGAAGGATGAAGGGCTGAGTAAATCCCTGCCCAGGATTTGAAATCCCAGCCATCCATTTGTGAGCAATGAATTCCTATCACAAAATGTTCATGTACATGATCAACCTTAATTAATTTATAATAGATTTTGGTTTGATGTTGATTTATATATCTCTGAGCCACAATAACATATCTTCCAGTTCAGGAAGGTGCCTTTATTCCTCCATTTGGGACCAATCAAAATAAAATGTATCCCTTCAGAGGCATCAGCTATGAGCACCGCTCGTGATCACAATCCTAACTGCCCTTTTGTTGCACCTTGCTTTTGTAGTGCTATCATAATGGCTCGTTTCTCTCTTTGCTGCTTTCCCGCTCATAACTTCCTCTGCCTCCTTTGGCTGCGTCGCTGCGTCTTGTGGTGGCCCAGGCACGTGCCTCCTATGTCGTGTTGGAGGTTGAATCTCAAGCTCACAAGGCTCATCGGCCCTGGCGGCGGCAGGTGACTTGCACACCACTGGCTGCAGTCTCCTGTGTTTCCCTCCTCACGGTGTGATGCTCAGATTTTCCTCTGCATGCTCACATTTGAATCAGTTTTCTCGTCCTGCATGAGAGCATCCATGCGCTTGAGTGAACCTCTTGTCAAACTTTTTATTTGTCAAACATTAACGATAGCATTACAGTTTGAATACTGTAACATAGGCATGCAACAGTGGCATCACTTAATTGGCAGTTTCATGGCGAACATTGTGAATTTATATTCTCAGCCACAGGTTTCCATAGGGTGCATGATAAAGGGAGCCTTTATTTGTGTGTTGAGTACTTCATGGTATTCTCCACGGTTGCTCGGCTAGTGAATCCTGTTAGAAGATGAATCCAAACCATGTCAGAGTGCACAATGTTAAATACGAAAACTATAAACAACGTAGGGGCACGGATAGAGTGTGTGTGAGCCTGATGCACATCGGAACAATGATAATAATGCAGTCTAAATCAGGCGGAGCTCTTGCTCGAAGCTTTGTGCAATGTGCTTTGAACCCGGCGAACCCGTGGTTTGATTCTCAGCCATGACTAACATCAGTGGAAAAGTGGTCCCAGAACCCCGGCTGGTTTATGCTTCACTAATGCACACTGACCAGCAGGGCCCCATGACTCACTCGGTCGGCATAGGGAAGCCATCATCGAGTAGTGGATTGACAAAGAGCTGGATATGTAAATTTCGTTTTTTATCATGTGAATAGCTGTGGTTTTCTTGATTGAGGGTTAATTGTGGGAGGTTATGCTTTAGCACACTTTTTTGAAGTGCTTTACTTATAGAGGTACAGTTATGCCCTGTTTCTGTATTCTTATTTCATTCAAAACATGTTTTGTGATGTTCATCTCTGGGCACGAGACCTTTATTTAGTAGTTGGTTTTATTTCCTCATATATTTGTTCAAATTCTTCATTTCATTTGTTTTTTTAGTAGAATATACATTTTAATTATCTTCAACTTGTAAGAGTTCGAGACCCGTCATGTTAGCTGAGCATCTCTATCCCTTGTACTCTAGAAGACAAAATTTCTGCTTGATTACCAGAGACAATACGAGTCCCACTACTACATACTTGCCCTCTTTGATAGAAAAGGTTGCCACCTTTCAGAAGTATGGTGTTCCCTTTTTTTCACCTCCCTAGAGATCAACTGTGTTCCAACATCCAACGTGGACATTAACAGACAAAGGGAATGCATCAACTGAAAGTGTACATAGAAGCATGGATAGGTTCGTGCTTTGGAATTGTTTGAGACAAGAAGAACATGTGAAAAATTAAAAATATCTAACTTAGATGCCACATTAACTGCAAAGAAATGTAAATGGGATAAGGAAGGACACTTTCCTGGAAGCAATGATTGCCTGTGGTTCAGACTAATGATCCAGAGGCAGAAAAAAAGAGGAAATACGCCTGAGAGAACATTCGCCGTGCAGATGGAGTGATGAAATTGGCTTGTATGCAGGGAGCAGATCGATTTTTTAATCGCGAGACTGTGAGACATGGCAATGGCTTCGGGAGGCCCTCATCCATTAGTGGGTAGATCATGGCTGAAGATGATTTATCTGGTGCACAGTTTTTTCCAGACATTTTAGAGTTCATGTTTGAATAAGAGTAAGTCTGTGCTCTTTGGTCATGGACAAATACACTGATCTTCATGGCTTGGCTAGATTCTTGAATTTGGCTGGGAAGAATGTTTTTGTTAAAAAAATAAACTTAGAAATTATTAGAAATATGTAACGATAAATATTAAAACAAGATAGATTGGCTACACATGTAAGAGGTGTTAAGCCGGTGATGGTACAGTCATTCTCCTATCCAGTGACCAGCCTCTTCAATGCAATGACCAGTCAAGGTCCAGCCTGCCTCTTGTTAGCTTCTAAATAGGCCCTTCCATTCGTTAATTTCACTTACCATGCATGTGATGTGTATTCTAGTTTAAAACCCATTGAGGCCCACCATTGTCACAATTTTTAGAACTGCTGTGATCCACAATTCTGATTAGCACAGTTGGCTATGTACATTGTGAAAGAAGATCAACATGCATACATACATTACATTTGTAACGAATCGTTTCTATTTTATTCTGCTTGTTCAGAAACTGGGGCTGGAGGCTGATTCAAAGATGTCCATCTCGGAGCGGAAAGCCCTGATAAGCGAGAGTGAAATGGCGTGGCAAGTGCGGGGTGCAGGTGCTGCCAACGACTCGGTGCAGTTCACGGTGGCTGGCCGCATGGTTAAGAAAGGCAAGTGCCAATTCGTTTATGTGAGAATCCCATGCCGTACCGAGGACCAGCGGTTCACATGTGTTTTAAAGTTTTGAGCCAGTGGTAGCTAGTCTACATTCTCATAGCAAGTGCAGTCTATTCATAGGACAGTCATTGGTAACTTCTCACCCAGAGGCGTGGTGGGCTGACATTGTAGCTGACCAAGACATGACTTTCAAATTGTGCATCGGACATTGCCACTGCAGCACCGTGCCTCAATGTAATAAAAATACCCTGTTGCTACTAATACAATTTGGTGCATGAGGGCATTGCATACCAGTGTCATAGCCCATAGTCTTAAGTATATATTTTGTAATTTATAAAGGAGGGCATTAATCTCAAGACTTTTCAATTTCATGATTCATAAACCCTGCCTCAAAATGCAGATCCCGTGAAATACTTTCAACGGGGACTTCCCTGTAGGAATGCTTTATTGATGAACCCTGTCTCCACACCCCTTACAACCACATATATACCAAGGCAATAATACTGTAATAGCAGAATGAGGAGGATTTATATTGGCAATGCAACTGCAGGATATATCATAAAGAAAGAAGTAATGGCTAGGTGTGGTGGTGTCACCGGCAGTGTTCTTGATGACCTCTTGACCTTTGCTTTCAGATTTTTTTTTCGTGCTGACAGAATTATGCTGAAGCCAGCATACCAAGGAGATCATTGTCTTAACTGCATAGCTTTTGACTCTTTCCCCCGACATAGATAAACTGAAATACCCAGTGCAAATTGATAAACATGCAAGTAATAATAAAGTTTCCGTTGGGATACAAAACAAATGTACATATATTATAAAGTGTGCCTCATGTTGCTCTAAGAAAACAAATCAATGTTTTAGTATCAGTGCCTTAACTTGCTTCCAGGAGACCAACAGACTATGTTTCAAGCAACTCGTATAGACGCCAGTACTTGTTCATTCCTGACTGAAGAAATATATAAATGTACATTGTCTTCTTCTAAATAATTACTCTTATCAAGGATATTTTATATACTTGAAGGACACCACACCCACTGAGAATTACATAAAACAAACTGAGTTTGTGACAAGGATGGGCATGGTTTTGTCTTTCCCCATGGACACATGCTGTGGCACAATCCGCAATATATCTTCATGTTCTCAAAGTATTCAAACAAAAATGTGACTTTTTCCAACCAAGTGCTTCAATGCATCCTGTTGGTGGCGGTCCATGCAGGTCTGGTGTCATCCTTGCCTGACCCCTTGACACCACGATCTAAGGCGGCCGAGTCAGCCATCAGCAAGCCTGATACGGGTGAGACGGCACAGCTACGTTCCACATTCACGTGTACCAAGTCAGAAGGTTGTTTAGGCATAAAAAAGAATGTGATACATCCCCACCGCTGGCAAAATACTCTTCTGGTTCACAGCTCTGCCCACTAGACCACCTTGTAAATAACACTATTTTATCTTGAACTAGAAAATGTAGAGTATTTTTAGTTAACTCTTTACTTTTAATCCACTGTGCTGATATTTGCCTGGCATTGATATTCGTCCGTGTGTGTGTTTTCTAGAAATTATTCCTTCGGATTCAATAGAATCCGATAAGAAACTGGACAAGCTGGAGTCATTCCTGGATAGGATCAATACCAAGTGTACATGTGGGTGAATTATATGACTTACCTGTTATCCACGACTTTCTATACAGCATGTTATATGCAATTATGTTGTGATGTGTGATCTGGGCATTGAACGCTGCTTTTGTGCATTGCATGTAAAGAATTTTAGCTAACAGTGTACGGGTGCAAAATTCCCATGGCTGGCAGAAGTCATGTGCTTAGCATTGTCATGCTGTGTGTAGAGTTAAAATAAACTCACAAAACACCTCCAAGGATCTCTGTAGACCTGAAATAATGTAACTGAATAAATACAAAATTTCCTGTGATGATGTGCCAATGTGCACCGAAGCGAGGACCGTCTCAGGACTGCATTACTGTAGTCGGGACTGATTAGCCCTGTAGATCGTGATATACCATTATCAAACTATATTAATTGGGTGTTATTGACAATGAGGATACAGTTATTATTTAGTATGATTACACAAATTATGTCACAATATTAGGGCTTTAACATATTATAATGGTAGATTATCTCTATTTTTAATTATTCCTCTTCTTTGATATGACAAATGAAATGCAACTGTTACAGATTCAGTTGTAAGTGATTTAGCTACCAATTTTATTTGCCTGAGACTTTACGAATTGCCGAGAACGCTGTTGCATTTACGTTTACATTTCCGACAGTGCCAAGTTTAAACGAATGTGAACAACCTATGTCGATTCGTGAATTTACACGAGGTCTCTTGCTGCCGCCAATGTTTGCTCAGTGGAGTCACGGACGGCAGTGGTGAGCGTCACCGAGGAGGTGGTGAAGGAGGTGCTGCAGCCCGACGACGATGAGACTTTCCGCCGCTTTTACAGCAGCTCCACGTCCTCTGTGGCCGTGGAGATTCGTGAGGAGGACTTGGATGTTCTGTGCGACTCGGAGGCTCCCAGGTTAACCAGGCCCTTGATTGCGCGTTTAGGCTCAAGTCATGCCATTCTTATACCATGCGTAGCGTATGTGTTTTGTGTGTTTGTTTGGCAGGAAGTAGGGAGTGGTGGTTGTGTTGCGGTTAGTTCCGTGCGACTCAGTTGACCCGATTTAGAGTCCCCACTCCACAAGCAATAACATTGGCGAACATTCAAACGATCCTGGGCCTCCCCGAGGAAGACTCAGCCGCAAATGAGTAACCTAGTGCGGTGTGCAAACATCTTCACTCGGGAGACAAAGGCGGCCGGGTGTGGTGCTGGCCACCTACCCCCTTCGTGTGCCGTCCCGGCCTTCATAAGTGCTCGCTCATAGCCCTTGCCCCAACAGTCTGTGAAAGCTAGTTGGGGGATCTTTGCCTTTGTTTGGCAGGATCAGTAAATTTAACATTTCAAATGTTCGTGCACCCGCTCTGTCAGCTCTCTTTGTCCGTGTGTTTTCATTATGTGACCCACTACCCTTCTCTTGTAACTTCCTCTGGAAATGTTCCACCATTTCTGACCAGCTTGGACTGCACACCTGTGAAAAATAGCTCCATAGCTCATTGGGTTATTCCAGCCTATATATAATGTCTTCTGTGTCTTGCTCGAGAACACAGCCAACACAGCACGCTCAAGCTGGACAGCAGTTACAGTATAGGCATGGAACACGGGTGTAGCTTATTGTGCTTCATAACAACAAAATGAAATTAAGGCATTTACTTTCTAAGTTATTCATATTTTGAGTAATTCATTGGCTTTGAGGATAAGAATTATCTTTTGCATTTCCATCACGTGTTGTGCATTGATCACCATTCAGCTGCTGTTTTTTCATTATCCTGGCCCCTCTCCCCTTTGAATCCTCAGGCCATGTCCTGTTTAATGTTTCTCACATGGCAAGCTTGGTGGACATGACACTTAAGGCATCGCAGTAAATTTCTCTGCTCCACGATGCCATGAAACCGTTACCATTCCACCTCATATTTTTTCTTTAGGGACAATGTGCTGTGCCCTTGTGAAAATTAGAGGACAATGTGATGCTATATAAAATATATACGCAGCGATATCAGTGTTAAAACCCTTTACAGTATAGGGAGCCCTGGCGCTGCATGGAGACTTTATTCGCAGCCTCGATTGATTATTTGTGTCTACGATACTGTGGTAATCTGTGCATAACGTAAAACAAAAATTGCTAATGCTTTTTCCCCTACGCGATGTAGTTGAGAATAAGAGTGTGATGGATAAAGGGAATGTTTTGTTGTGTTAGTATGCACATTAATCTATGCTATGATTCACCTTTCACTCTCACTTTTTTACGCATGAAAATAGGGAAGTGACCAAAAATTGTAATTGTTTATATGCTCTGGCATTTCAGTAAAATCCTGGTGTATTTTCTCTTGGGGTTATTTGCATTTCTGACATTTGCAACTGTGACTTTCAACTGCGATTTGTCAACTCTGAATTTGCAAGGGTAATTTATGTCTTCTTTATATTCTTTTTAAACTGCACTGATTTTTTTCTAAAAAATTTTTGTTTGAGTTTGTGTGTACATTTTTTTAAATGTATCTACCTATGTAACTTCCTCTAATTTTCCACAATTGCTATCCCAGCTTGGTCTTGACGCCTGTGAAAAGCGAGCTCCATAACACATCGGGTTCTTCCAGTGTAAATAAAATGTTTATATAGGAACTGATAGTGCACTTTCAAGGTGGCACCTATTCTTGATCCAACAGCTATTTAAGGGAAACTCTGAATGTGAACTATTTGCTTATTTACTTATTGGATTGTTCACCCTTAGAATGAGATGCGTGATGCCTTAGATTATCTAGCTTTTAGGTAGGTGTCCTTAAAATATTGACACTTCTGTTAGCTAAGACCCTATTATACACACCCAACAGCAACTTCTATATGGAGGCTACTCTCATGTTGGGATGATTCCCACTGTTTTACTTTGTCAGGATGATCATGCTCATGATGATAGTAATGGTAATCGTGATGATGTGTTGTTGCACCGTAGATAGGAGTCTTTTGGAAGTCGTTGCCTTGGCAGGAATAGTGCCTCGCAGTCACGAAGATAAAAGGAGTGATATAGAAGTTGGTGAAATACACATCCTATTCGTCTAGGTTTTTGTGGGCTTCACCTGACCCGAAATTACCTTTGAAGTTACCTCCTGGATGTCCATCTTTTATACGAGCCATTACTCGGATAAGAGGAGTGACGTGGACGTGGCGAGACATTTATCCCATCATCCGTGTGTATTCACGCTTTGCCGTCAGATTAGAGGAGTCGAGTTTTCAGATAAACACGGATAATAGGACCCATGTCCAACGCCCCCCCCCCCCCCGACACCAAATTGGAAGAGCAGAATTCCACTGTTTTGATTTTGACCTGAATTGCACTGATAAGTTCACATGCCAGACACAAGACAAAAATAACAGCAGAGAGTAACTTGTGGGAAATTGTCGTGGAACGATAAAACTGATTTGTGGCGTGCATATGTACGTGTGCCTCAGGCTGCTGTCAGCCATGTCAGAGCACCGGCGATCCGTGCGGCCTGCACGCAGGACGACCGCCTCGCGTAATCCCATCAAGGCTCTGGCGCAGAGAAACGACATCAAGACCGAGTACACGGAGCAGCGGCTCAATGTGGCCACGATCGAGGCCAACCGCCTCCGCGCACAGAAACGTACGGATGTGGAACTGTGAAGTAGTGTACAGTCGCTTCCAAATGTGCTAGACTGCAGTGATGTTTCAAGTAAATGGTGAACCTTTTCACAAACTTTTCCTTGACCATAGCCTTTCGTAAATTGTGACTCATCAGACATTAGTGTGCAGTGCAATTCGGACATAAAACTATAATCCTAATCATGCCTCTACATTGTAATTGTTGATAAAAAAAAAATACGTAGATATTAATGTTTACATATTTTAAGAGTAGGAACCAAATTTCGATTTAAAGCTTTCGTGACTGCAATGATTCATCTTCTTTGGTTCTTCCAGATAGTCTCGCCCCTTCACCTGATGAAGGCCGCTTGTGTTGTGGCTGAAACGTCGTGAGAATATTATTGTGTTATTTTATTTTATCAATTTATTATTTTATTCTCATTCTACGTGACTTTACCGTAGGAACCAAATTTTTGTGAAATATCAAGTTTTGGCTATAACTTTTTTACAAGTTTAATTATCACCTTGTGAGCAATAGGCAATTTTGTAAATATTTTTGTTGCACGCATTTTTCTATTTCACAGTTTTTGGGTAACTCATAGTGATTCCACTTAGTTTCATTGTCTACTGAGTGGTTGTTCATCAACTTATTTGTTTAGCGGGTTTAAACTGTCCTGATTTTACATGGTGACATGGCATAGATATTTTATCAATACAAGAAAGAAGGATGCCAGAAAGACAGAAGGAATGCAGCAAAGACAAGCCTGATTTTACTCCGTTTTGAGTTTTGCATGTGTTTTGAAGGGGGGGGGGGGGGTAAGGGAGCTAGGAACCTTCAGCTTAGAGAGGGAATGTGAATGAGTTGTCTTGGTGGGGAGGGGATGTTTTCACACCAACTGAATGGATTTCCATTTTCAGCCCAGTGGGAAAAAAAAAGGATTTTGAATTTCTAGAGCACTTAAAATTCCCCAGCATCTCAATGCACCTTGCACCATATCTCATCTAAGCCATTCCATTGCACAGCTGTTGTTGAGCTAATGGGAGCCCCGGTAGCAGCTGTCCCTTTGCAAACAAGGTGAACCTGGCACTGGTCTGTATTGAACATTTTGGTAATTTGAATGTAACCTATAAAATGTTGGCCGTGACACCAGCACAGCACACATGGCTACCTGTGTGACCGCCACTGGATCTAATGATAATACAATTTTCCTTTGTTGTAAAATATTTATTCGATATTTAATGTACAAACTTTAAAGTTAAATAGAGTGTCATATGGGCATGACTACCCTGTCTTCTAAATGCTTTTAGGAGGGTTCTGATTTACTCCTACATCCCTGAATATAAATGGTCTCTGTTCTGTTGCTTAAGACTAATAATGCATACTTAACATTTGCTTCAGAAAAACACACCGAGTTTTGGTGGTCAGTGTTTGTTCCCTGGCTGCTCAGTGAAGAGGTCTCTAATCTGCAAATGATTAACACCGCTGAATACCCTCTGCTGTTGGTGTGTGCTCAGTGGCAAAGCACTCGAGGCTAGCGGACGCCGCGCTGGCCGGCCTGGCCAGCAAAGAAGACTTCAGCAGCGTGAACCTGCGCAGTGTGGCCACCGCCTCTCCCTCCTCCAACAATAGTGCCCTGCCCTACAAGCCAGTCATGCTACTGCAAGTCAAGGGTAAGAGCACGAGCTCACGCCAGCAGCGTGAATGCCTGGAAGCAAGAAGAACGGTGATTTAACGTGGGGAGTTAGTTAATAGGTGTTTTCACGAACTGATGATACATAAACCATCACGCAAACTCCGGTCATCCTCGCAGAAGCTTTTGGCTTGCCATCGAACAAAGATGGTCACTGCATCGCACTCTTTCAGATGCGCTTCTGCGGCCGTCTTGAACGATCTTCCGATATTAGGAGGCCACTGGAGCTATTCACTTTTAAATCTACATTGAAAGTACTTTCTTTAGAACTGCTTTTTGTGTTGAGTTTGTTGTCCTTTCCCCGCACCTCCGATGAGCATGGTTTGGCTACATACGTTGGGAAAAAGTTAAAAATACAAAACGAAAACACACACAGCAGAGATATTTTAGCTTTGACTGTATGGGCATTATACCACAGCCAACTAAATTTAACCATACATTTGAATAACATTCACTCCCTTGCTAAACACATACAACAAACATATACAACATTAATGTAATTAGGTTGATAATTACAGTGCTCATTGACACTAAAAATATATATGTATATTTATTTGCACATGTGTTTATATGTATAAACACGTGTACATCCAGTTCACCATGGAAGTGTAAGTTGACAGAACTCTCCCATTTATGCATATTCTGCTCGGGCGTGGCTGAAATTTACCACTATAATGAGCCAAGAATATCTGTGTGTCCCGCGCATGACGTCAATCCACGTCGACCAGCCCCCCTCATTAATAATCATGAACATCTGCCGTCACTCCATATCGAACAGCGCCCCTCATTAATCATCATGAACAGGTGACGTCCTCCAAATGGACACCCAATAATAATAATAAGCGGGTGACGTTGCTCCATATGAGGGGGCGAGGCGCCTCCTCCCACGTCCTCAGCTTTAAACTTATAACTTTCACTACAAAGGCAGAACCCTCACGTCACGTGGTCTCCGTGACGCTGTTGAGACATATAAGTTAAAAGGACGTAATGATGAACAAGGAGGGACTGTAACCTTTAAATTAAATAGGTCTGTGTTACCGCGGCCGTACTAATGGCACACGAATGGATGCAATGAATATCACGTTACGGTCTGCTTTTCCCTTGCAAGTTTCAGATTTACTGCAATACACCCATCCTTGGACGGGCAATAGGCTAATTTACTACTATAATGAGCCAAGAATGTCTGTGTCCTGCGCATGACGTCACTCCACGGCGGCCAGCCCCCCTCATTAATATTCATGAACAGGTGACGTCCACATGGACCCCCCCCCCCCTCATTAATAATCATGAGCGGGTGACGTTACTCCACATGTAGCACCCCCACCCCCCCTCGTTAACAATCATGAGCAGGTGACATCACTCCACATCGAACAGCCCCCCTCATTAATAATCATGAAGAGGTGACGTCTTCCAAATGGACACTCCCCCTCCATTAATAATAATTCTCCACTTGGGGGGGCAAGGCGCCTCCTTCCCCCTCCTTTAGCGTCAACTTACAACCCTCACTACAGAGGCAGAACCCACACGTGACGCGATCTCCGTGACGCTATTGAGACATCAAAGTAAAAAGGATGTCATGATGAACAAGGGATTATAACCTTTAAATGAAATAGGTCTGTGTCACTGCGCCCTTACAAATTGCACACGAATTGATGCAATGAATATCACGTCGCGGTCTGCTTTTCGCTTGCAAGTTTCAGATTTACTGAAATACACCCGTCCTTGGATGGGCAAAAGGCGAGTGGTAAAATAACACCCATTAGTCACCGAACGAAAACGCACACTGACGCCCATCTGAATGCAGAGTCACACCATCACCCCGCACAGAAATCCTCTCATCAAGACCCTCATACATCGGGCTAAGACAGTGTCAGATGGTGATAGTCTGAGAAGTGAAATTAAACATGTTAAAGAAGCGCTGCAATTGAACGGTTACAATTATGCACAAATCAACAGGGCACTGAACGCCAAAACCAAATCAAATAAGATGAGCATTGAAACTGACTAAGTAATTAAAACTATTAAAATACCGTACATTGTGGGAGTAACTGGTTAACTAGCCAGATTTTTTTTTAAACAAAGCATCCAAGTCAGATTTGGCACAGTACATAAAATACGGAAACTAATATCTGGTACTAAAGATGTATTACCGGAGCTATCAACAGAAGGTGTGTACCAAATTAATTGCTCTTGTGACACATGCTATGTTGGGCAGACAGGACGAATGATCAGCATGAGACTAAAAGAACACCAAATAAATATTAAATACTCAAAAATACAACTATCGGCAGTGGCAGAACACGCATGCCAACAAGGACACTCAATTGATTTTGATGTTGAAGTTCTGTGCAAAACTAGCTACTACTGGCCAAGACTAATTAGATAATGTATCGAAATTGAGAGAAATAAAAATAATTTTAACTGTTTGGATAGCTACAGGCTTAGTGCTGCTTGGAAGCGAATCATTAAACAATACATTGTTTAAATGCATGCCTATACAGGTCACCATACATCAATGGGGATTATACCCGTGTGCAGATAGCAGGAATTCATATTCTATGGTTCTTTCGGTAAAGTCACATAGATATAAAAAATAATAACAATAAAATTATAAAAAGAAAGTGAATAAAAATATCACGATGTTTCGATTGTGATATTTTTCCTAATAAAAAAAGACTAGATGGCTCAATAAGCCATTCTGTCTACAGGAACCCATACTGACGCCTACCTAAAACCTGATTCCCACTACTATCCATCCCAGAAGAATTCCCTCATCAAAACGCAACACCATAGAGCTCAATGTATCTCTGACCATGAACACCTAACCAGTGAACTGAAACACGTACACCAAGCTCTCAAGGCGAATGGATATTCTGACTACACAATCCGCAAAGCCATCATCCCAACCGTCAGGAAGGAGCCAACTGAGGATCCAATCAAGACACATCACCTTGCCATACATAGCAGGGGTAACCAAAAAGATTTCCAAAATCATGAACACACACAAGATCCAGGTCCGATTTAACACGGTATATAAAATTCGTGATCTGATCCCATCTGTGAAGGACAAGATTCCTGACATGCAATATCCCGGTATCTACAAACTAAGCTGTATCTGCGGCAGCAGTTACATTGGGGAAACTAAGCGACATGTCTCGGACCGTGTCCGTGAACATAAGGCAGATTTGAAACATGGTAGGACCAATACTTCTGCTGTGGCTGATCATTATTTTAATGTGGCTGGCTCACACGAAATATATTTATCTAAGATGATGGTACTTTGCAAGCCCACTGGTTACTAACAAAGATTCGTTCATGAAGCCATCCATATATACAGACAGAAACAATTTCAACCGAGAGGAAGGTTGTAGACTGAGCAATCATTGGAAAGATGTCATCAACCACTTTGGGTCATGACTTGATTTGGGTTTTCTTGTCAACCTCTACCGTCAGCAGTGTGGGTGTGTGGAGCGAGGTGCAATGCTTTGATTGGTGTAGACTTACTGGAGGTGTCGGAGCTTTCTCCTACGTTAACATTAGCTGCCCCGCCCATCCCTAAACCTTTATAAACAGCTCTTTGATTGGTGTAGACCTACTGTCGGTGTCGGAGCCCTCTCCTACATTAACATTAGCTGCCCCACCCATCTCTAAACCTTTAAAAACAGCTCTTTGATTGGTGTAGACCTACTGTCGGTGTCGGAGCCCTCTCCTACATTAACATTAGCTGCCCCGCCCATCTCTAAACCTTTATAAACAGCTTGCCCTCAGAGGCTAACCTCCCTGTTCCTGATGACGACCGCTTGTGTTGCGATAGAAACGTCATGATATTTTTATGCACTTTATTTTTATTATTTTATTGTTATATATTTTTTTTCTATCTACGTGACTTTACCGAAAGAACCATATAATAGGTACTGCTATTTTAGTGCACACAAATGAGAGGCGGTACAATAACAATGTGCATACATAATGTACATGCATAATGTACGTAGATTACCATATGAATAACCTAACCGGTAATGGGTGCCCATTGTAATTTATACACATTCATTAATCCCACCCCTTCACACGTGAAGGGCTCACAAGTGATGTCATCACATCTCTATCCCTCTATTTAAGGAACGAAAAAGGAGGATTTCTCCACAAATCTGGCTGTCCTGGTGAAGCTAGTTGTAACTATGAGCGAAACATCGTACTCAGATTGTAAATGTTGTTGATTTTCTCTCCAACACACCGGTGTGCTGTACTAGTAACGAGTTGACATGTTCCGTTTACTTGACACACTTTACTCATTGGCTGTCTCGGGTGGTTACGGGTTTGACGACACATTTCTATTTTGGTGATCTAGCCCAAAACACCTATGTAATGGTTTATATATGTATAAGCACTGTTGTGTGTACTTTTCTGTGAATAGTGCGTTTATATATATACTGTATAAATATAATTCTAGTTCACTCATTACTCATAGCACTTAACAGTGTAAGTCGTTAATCTGTCCCATAACCATATAAATGATGATGCATTATTCAAGGAAATGAGTATGCATTCACCCCCAATGTGCATGCATCGCTACGGCAGATTAAACTAAAACACTGCAGATGTTTTGCCAATTGACTTCATGCACAGTTGAATAACAATTACTATCAATCACTAATAACAATTACATTACCACAACTTCCAATGCCCCAACCGTTGCAGTGTTAGTTATTTCATTATTTATGGTTCTGACAACCTCTGCATCATTTAGTTTCTCTAAACACATTTAAATGTCGTTTAGAAGCAGTCTAAGTTTCCAGCCTGCTAAACTAGATTTTTTTAAATCTTAATTGTCTTCTGTTTAAACTGTATTTGTAAATGTTAAAGTTTAAGGGAGTCCACTTGAAATCCTTGACTTTTATATTTGCGGATAAGCCAAGGCAAATCTTTGACCACGAGTCAGAGCTATTCCCCCAGAAGCTAGTGGTGTGTGATGGATATCCTTTGGCTCCAATATTTAAAATAATAATTTAGATCACTGTTTCCATTGCTGTACCATTGGGACTCCTATCAAGTGCAGATGCATCTGATACAGATCAATGACAATGTGTAATCTAGACATTGCACTTTATTGGTCATGTTATAGATGCCTATTAATCAAAGTGTGTTCTGATAATGTAAAGATCTGCTAATGGGTCTTGGGTATATCAGGTCTGGGCTTGGCATTGAGACTGGTAATTCCTTGTATGTGTCCAGGAAAGCCTCACTTGAGTCATGAACTGCCTATCAGGAGAGTCGTGCATTGGGATGTTTGGCTTGTGGGAGGAAACTCGAGTAACTGAGAAAAAAATAGCGCGTGATGGGGCACAACACTCAAAGGTCCATACAGATAGATTCATTATTTTGTTAAACTGCCATCTCCTGGTTATCTTGCAGCCCTAGCCTATTCTAAAGCATTTTACCAACCAATAACACACAAACTCAGCCCTGCTTAATTCCTGAGACCCAATGAGGTGGTGCACATTCAAGGTGTAGAGGTCCCTTGGAAGGAGGCTGTTGTCAAAAGCGGGAACAACCCCTTCTAATAACGACCAAAAGGTTAAGTCGTTTTTTGGACAACTAAAACAAAGCAAGGTAGTAGTATAGTGCGGAGTGTGGTTGACTGATCTGTTTTCCTGTAATGTATGTATCTAATACATCAGGGTACGTCTCTTGACTTAGTGCTAGTGTACCTTCACTACTCCACACTGCCTCACTTTGCATGCAGACCGGCAAATAAGCTGTGGTGTCTTCCCACCACTTACCGGTGAATCGCTTTGCTGCTGTTGTTATTGCGACTGCATGTGAAGGCCGGAGACATGTCCAGACCAGGCTTGTGGAGCCTCGAGCCATTTCCCTCAACAGTGGAGACTGCTTCCTCCTGCTCACGCACCAGCATTGCTACCTCTGGATCGGGGAGTTTGCCAATGTCATTGAAAAAGCTAAGGTACGTGGTATGTTGTCATGGCTCACTGTCAGTATTTGGTAGTGTACTGTCACTTATTCAGATTTAGACTAACAGTTATTACGTATACCACTTATGACTCGAGCATATTTCTGTTTGGAGTTTGTATGTTCTACCCTTAAATTTGAACTTAAAACTTTCCTGACTGCAGGAATTCATATTCTTTGGTTCTTTCGGTAAAGTCACGTAGATGGAAAATAATATAATAAAAATAATAAATAAAATTTTCATAAAAACCAAAAACTCATAATGTTTCTATCGCAACACAAGCGGTCGTCATCAGGCGGAGAGAAAAGGGGAGGGGGGTGGGCAAGCCTCCAACTGCAACTCTTTATAAAGGCTTGAAATAGGCGCAGACGAGCCAAAGCTGTGAGTAGGCGGGGCACAAGAGCTGTGGAGCCAGCCCTGAGCAGCGCGGTTCAAGAGTGTCAGCAGCATGGGCGGGGCAGCCAATGCTAATGCAGGAGAAGACAAAGGGGGATAGAGAGGGGAAGAGCTAGGGGAAGAGAGAGGGGGCAGAGACAGGGAGAGAGAGGGGGCAGAGATAGGGGGAGAGAGGTGACGGTTGCTTGTGTTGCGATCGAAACGTTGTGATCTATTATTTTTTCTACCTACGTGACTTTACCGAAAGAACCAAAGAGTATCAAGTGAGAAATTTAGCCCTGATTAGATCTTGATTGAAAGTAGAAAATCAACTGGTGAAAATGGCATATATTTTCAAAATATTTTTGCCGACAGAACATGCTTTTCGTATTCCTCTGCTGGTGCAGGCGAGTGACTTGGCAACGTACATCCAAACCAAGCGAGACTTGGGCTGCCGAGCGAGCAGCATCACCATCATTGAGGAGGGTATTAACTGCAGCAGCAACCGTGCCCGCAGCTTCTGGGACCTGCTTGGCGGCCGCGTTTCTTATAAAGGTGCCTTGCCTGGCGTAGACAAAACTGGGCGCACACACCACACGGCGTGTGCAAACAGTACACTTCCAGCAGGCACTCGACACTGCACAGCAAACACAAGCGCACCAAACATACTGCATGTTGTGGGTGGCAGGGTGGCGCAATGGCACCACTTGGGCCTCACAGCCAGAAGCATCTGGGTTCGATTTCTGACTTGAGCGCCTTTCTGTGCCGAGTTTATATGTTCTCCTGTTTTCCATTGGTTTCCTCCAGGTGCTCCCAGTTTCTTCCCAAATAAAAACAAAATTACGTAACTAGCTTTGTTCAAATATCTCCGCCAAAAAATGAGCTGCAAATTGCTCAATTGGGATTGCACATTTCAACATCTTCCTGCGACACGGTCTTGGGACTCGGTGGGCCTTTCTTGGGTAAACACGCTTCTTAATAATAATGATGTTAAGTGCAGACAACGAGTGGTAGAGCAGGTGTCGCATCGCCTTTGGTAGAGCATCTTGTGCGTGTGCGGCATGCAGGTACGGGCCCCCCTGAGGAGGACGAGCTGTACGAGAATGACGTGGTGGCCACCAACTGTGCGTTCCGGCTGCAGGGGGAGCGGCTGGTGCCGGACGACGAGTGCTGGGGCAAGGTGCCGCGCTGCACCATGCTCAATCCCTGCGACGTGAGTACCCCCGAAATTGCCGCTTCGTCTATGTGTAGCTCCTACTGGAAGTACCATATATCAAATGCGTGCAGTTTGGCGTCGGTGCTATGTCAGACAGTGAAAGATTGGGGACAAGTTGTTTGTCGTATGTAGTTAATAAACTTATTGGGAAGAGGAGTTCTCAGGATATATATCTGTATAGCCACTTAAGGACAGCAGTTGTGCATAACTTTACAACAAAGAATAAGTTCTGAAAGTTTTGTTGGATATGTCATAGGCAGCTTTTGAACAGGGAGAAGCAGAATTGCTGAGAAACAGGCAACAGAGGAAAGGTAACGTGGAAAAACTAAATATAATGAAGAGCTTTATAGCATTCAAGGAAATGTATGTAATGTTTTACAATATGGACCGATACAAGTTCAAATTATGGCCTGGGGTCAACTCAGCCCATCATACTTCTAGACCATTTAAAATTAATACCACTGTGATTTTCCCAAAAAAATTGCCATACCATATACTTATTTGTATATGCTACTGAATGCTATAATTTCTAAATATTCCGAATCCTTACAATTCATGACATTTATCCATTATGACAGAGGCATTGAAATGTTACACATTTATTTTTTAAAACAGATCCTATCATCAACAGGTGAATGAATCAAGAATGTGAACGTACACGAAAAGGCGCAACTCGGAGAGACGTTACATGTGACTAACCCTTCTCCAACAGCCTTTGATGGTGTCCGGGCATTCTTCAGTATACAAATATATTTGGCAATGCCTCAGCCACCCTCGTGTAACATGAGCACCTTATCTCACCCCCTGGGCTTGTACCGCCAGGTGGTGGTGTTTGACTTTGGGAGTGAGGTGTACGTGTGGCACGGCAAGGAGGTGACGCTGGCCCAGCGCAAGGTGGCCTTCCAACTCGCAAAGCAGCTTTGGGTTGGCCCCTATGATTACAACACCTGCCGTATCAATCCACTTGGCAGTGACATTCCACGGTACGTCATGCACTTTTTACGGTCCCCGGGGGCTTGCTTTTTAGGTGCACAGAGAACGGTTTGTGGGTCTAGATGGGAATTTTAGAACCCCCGTGGGAGGGGCAAAGGATTTACGGGGGCCTACGTTCACCTGTTCTGTATAGTGTTTTTAGAAGTCAATGTATTTCATCACGGCTAGGCATCAAGATTACGTGGTAAATGAAACACTGCCCAGCAGCTAAGCAGGCTACTATGACAGAAACATCTTTCTTTATTTGAAGCTTTCGTGACTGCAGGAATCCATACTCTTTGGTTCTTTCGGTAAAGTCACGTAGGTAGAAAAGTAAAATTAAATAAATAATATATCACGACGTTTCGATAGCAACACAAGTGGTCGTCCTCAGGTGTAAAAAAATAATCCAGCAGTGGAACTGCTGAACCAGGAAGAACACAGCGAGAGAAGAGCTGTTACAACACGAGGTTATATATGTGGTGAAGGGCAAGCAGGCGGGGTCTGAGCTGGAAAGGAATTCCATCCCCGCACGCAAGCACGTCAGTTGTGTTAATGGGGGAGATTAGGGAGAGAGATTAGCATGAAATGAGCTTTCGTCGCCGCATAAGAGTATCGTCCCCACATTTGCGCACAGCAGCAGTGTTAATGGGAGATTAGCACTGTTGATGGGAGAGATTAGGCAGAGAGGTTAGGGAGATTAGCAGGTTAATGTCATGTCTATGTGCAACACAAGCTGCGGCGCTGCCAACTGCGCTGTGAGAGGCAAGCGCGTCAACGCAAGAGAACCACCGCAACGGTGGTCGCACCAGTGAGACACACAGCCCATCGTACAGCCAGAACCATCGGTACATCGAGGCTAAGGGAGCAGAGGTGGCCATGTTAGTGAGACCCCAGCCTGTTAATGCAGAGGCACCTAACGGAGCAATGCAACTCGGAGAGTCGGAGATTTTATTTTATTTTACTACCTACGTGACTTTACCGAAAGAACCAAAGAGTATAGAAACATCTTTCCTATGGATTTTACAGTTTTCTTAGCACCTATTTTTGAATGCCCAAAATGTAGTTATCACCTGCGAGCTATGATGCATGCTTTGTGTTTTTTGGGGCAGGATGGGGGAGGGGCGCCCTGAGTGGTCCATTTTTGGACGCCTGACGCAGCACAATGAGACGGTTCTTTTCAAGGAGAAGTTCTTGGACTGGGCAGATGTAATGAAGCCACCCAAGAAAAATGGCGATGAACTGAAGGTGCAATATGCTCAGTTTAACACGTAGGCTTTCGCGACCAATATTATTAATAATAAAGGTTTTTGGGTTAGATCGCGTTATTTATAAATGTGTCGTAACCCTCCACCACCTGACACAGCCAATGAGCAAAAAAGTGTCGCGTTGACAAAAGACAAATAGTTCACTACTTTAGCCCACCGGTGTGTTGAAGAGTGAATCCACAACTTTTACAGTTTATATGCTACTTAATATGCTACTTGCGTAGTTGACAAGTGTATTAATCCCTCCTCTTCGTGTCTCTATTTGTTTTTCTCATTGCCTGGCATATTCCTCTCTCTTCACTTGCCCCCTCTCTCCTCCACTTCTATCTTCCCTTCTATATCTCCTCAACTCTCCTTTACCTTCTCTTCCTTTCCCACATACCTCTCCTAGTTACTTCTTCAGTCCTCTCTGACCTGACAGTTTTATTTTTCTCTGTCACCATTTCATCCAACCCCTAACAGTCCATCTCTCAACCGATGCCCTTGCTTTCACTTCTTCCTCTATCTCCTACTTTCCTTGTATAACCCTTTTCTTGTTTTGCCCCCTTCATTTGAATGCTTTTTAACCTCAATGTTTTTTTTTACCTGGTTAAATAAAGGTGTAATAAATAGTTATTGTGCTGTCGTTCTCATTTAAAGCCTCCCAGAAATACGCATGTTGTCAAATTATTGGTTGTATATGTTGAATAGCTGTAGCTTTCAAGTTTATGGAAAACATTGCAACGTGTGAAGTTTTTTTTAGCTTTGAAGTGCGAGGGGAAAGTCATGAAAGTACGTTTTTGTGTTTGAAAATGCACTCCGTTCTTCTCAGAGTCTCTTACTTTACTCCCTTTCTTTACCTCCCTACCTTTCCATACCTTCTGTTTTATCAGCTTGTCTGTTGTCAGACTGTTGAAATTATGCTCCTGTAATTTGTCTCTTTTCTTCAATGATTTTAACCATGAGAACAAATGATGCCTCTACATGGAATTGCATTGCAGTTTAATATATAGGCTTTCGCGACCAATATTATCCAGAATATGTTTTTTGGGTTAAATCGCGTAAATATAAATGCATCTTACCGCAAGGAGTGAATTTGCTTGTGCCACGCCACGCGTGTTTAGCCTCGTGTGACGCCGCCACCCCTCCCCCATGCTTTTACCCCCCACCCTCACCACGCAGGAGGGTGATTCTCAAAGCCCGCACATTAGCAGCATCACGACGACCAGCCCTACCTCCCCGATGGCAACGATAGAAAATATGGTTCATGCCTCGCCTGAAGGTGGCGGCGTGGTTGTAGTGCAGCCGCAGGCGGGCGGCACGGTGCTTGAGGGGGTGGACGTAGGGCGTGGCCACGGCACGGTGAAAGGGGAGGACGCGCGAGCCTTCGAGCTGAGCACCGTGGCCGTGGAGGCCTGGCACGTGGCCGAGCATGGGTACAGCTCTGTGGCGGCCACCAGCCGAGGGCAGCTTCACATGGGGGATGCCTACATCGTCAAGTGGAAGTACATGCTGTGCCCCGCGGGTAAGGGGTGTGCACGCCATATGCGTCCTTGTGCCACGAGCCATTGTAGCTTGCTGTGAACTCTTGGCGGTCGGGGCGTTCACTTGTTCTAATGAGATCGATTCTCCTTTATGGTTCTTGACCATGATCATCAGAGATATGGTCCTCATTGACGGTAAACTAAATAAATATTCAGCAGTTCAACTATGGCCATCATAGTAACAGCCATATATAGAGTCCTATGTAAATTAACTTCACCTGGCCATGCAGCATTATGCCAAAGTTTTGCAAGTTCATAGTTTAGCTTATGAGATCAGATTCTGTTCAGATATGGAGTCAATCGCATTGGGGTCCATCAGCTTTGTCGGAAATCGGCAGTGGCTGTCTCATGGATCAACTGATTTCCTCTTTAGCAATGTGGAATATTCACCACTGACTCCAGACTAAAAATGGAGATCATGCAAGTGTGGTGATATTTGGTGCATTATTAATCTGCTATGTATCATGGTTCAGCTGCCACAGTGCAATTTCATTCCATTGATTGACATTTATTCTGTAGAATTTTTAATTAAGTTTCCTCCACCCCCCCCCTCCACCATGCATTTGTTAATATCACTCCTATGCCTAGAGCAATGCACTCTACATACATTTGCAACCGCAATGTCAATTGTGATTAATTTACAGTTGTTAAATAACAACAGAAAATTGTCTGTTTTGCAGCTTGTCTTGATAGATGTGAGGCATTTTTGGGATGGTTTAAAAAACATTAATGGTACATTGAAACACTCCCTTTTTGTCTCCACCACCCAACAATTAGCATCATCATAATTCTGCCACACATTTCTTGTTCTCTTATTATACAACCGCATTCCCTTGCATGTTAATCACAATTAACGTACAATACAATCATTACAAGGCGGTCTTATGGTACCCCGGCAGAATCCTCGTGCTCTGTCTATCATCTCAGAATCGGCAGCCACACTGTCATGGGTTCTGCCCAATGAGTCCAATGGTTACTGAGGTTGGTCATGACTTTAATGAACATTTCCACCAAAGTAGCAATTCCAAGCATGGAAACTTCTGCCAATATTATGAATTGTGGACCCATTGTCTTGTTTTGCTCACTCGAATTACTGCAAGTGGTTAATGATGACAAGGATGAGGAGTGACATTTCTATTTGTCTCTGCAAATCACAGCATTGTGCTTCTCAAAAGCTGGTAGTTCCATTCCGGTAATGATTCTTATGTAAGTCTGTGTGTGACCTGATGCCTTGCCCCATGTGGTGATGCAGTGAGCAAAAGGAAGAAGAGCGAGGCGGTGCGGAGTGTAACGGCGGGCCGCGAGCGCTGCGCGTACTTCTTCTGGCAGGGTCGCAACGCGGGCGTGAGTGACAAGGGGGCTTCGGCACTCATGACCATCGAGCTGGACACAGAGAAGGGGCCACAGGTGAGCCACGCAGGGAGGACTTTGTCGGGAGGGGTGTGGTACGTGCACATGACACAAATGTATTGTAAGGAAAAAGAGAGACTTAACCAGGTGGCCCATGGTTTTGTAAAGCGTTACGGGCAGCGGTGAATTGTATGGCTTCAGTACAGTTAGATTTAAGATAAGTTGTCTTGCTAGACAGATGATGTTTTCAACTGTAAGCTGTTTTGTTTTTTGCGTCGTTAAAATCTTGAAATCTAGAAGGGCCTGGTATTACGCTGATCTAATGTATTCGGTTACCTCTGTGGTGGATGGGACGGCATCTTTTCTCTTTGCTGGGATATTCGATATACTGCCTTGTGGACAGTGAAATCCTGAAGCAGATTTTTCTGCTGGACTATATTACCGCCTTTTAGTTTTTTGCCAATTGGATTTTGTTTTACATCCAAAGTAGATTTTTTTTTAAAAATCTACAAATCCCTATTAGTATGGGAGTTTGTGGCCTAATTTCATGTGTCGGTGATTGAGAACATTCGTGTTTGTTTTCACAAACATTTGTGAGCGCACATGTAGACGTACACACACATTTGCCCGTATGTTTGTTTTTTTTGGGGCGTGGCCATGTGCGCCGTGATCGCCAGGTGCCAGTTCAACAGGGAAAGGAGCCTCCCTGCTTCGTGCAGCTCTTTCAAGGCGGAATGATTGTCCACCGAGGACGGCGGGAGGAACTTGACAACAGCCAAGGTATACTTTACCAACTGTGATGCACCAACCCACAGTCACGATCCATTACCAAAACCCTTTTGCCACATGGCCAGTGCGATGTGACTCCAAATGTATCGGTCACCTGCCCGAAAGGGTTTAAGTTTAAGCAACCCATGTATTAATATGAATACAGGATAAATGAGGATAAATGAGAAATATTTTATATACAGGATAAATATGAGCAAAACAAAGGTAATGTGCAACATATCCAATAAACAATTACAATGTCTACCTAGGGTGCTATTAAAGGTGGACTGGGATCAAAGTGATAAATTGAAGAAGTAGATGAGAGCAGGGTTGGAGTGCTTTTGGAAATCTGAACGTGTTAATAAACTGATACAATATATGAATTAAAAAAAATGGACATTAACAAAGAAAATGGAACAAAACCATGAAAGTGCATTTATTAGTAATTTTTTTCTATCTATGTGACTTTACCGAAAGAACCAAAGAGTATGCATAAAAGAGGCAAGGAGAGATGCTTATACGCATGTAAGAAAAAGTAAGTTGGCTCCGGGAGGAATCGTCAAGGGAAGGGATGGATGGTGTCCATTAGTCGAGATGTGAATGGATGGATGGTGTCCATTAGTCGAGATTAAGTGTACCACTAATTGTGATCAGAAGGCAGTCACTGTGTTTAAGTGGGATCAAATGTCATTCATGGATAAAAGTAAATCTCATAGGTTCCTGGATTCCTGTACTCAGAAGCATTACTAGATAATGTGAAAAAATGTATACACAGTCCAGCTGACAGACAAATGGACAAATGAAGGTGCTTGTATATAAAATGACACTTGATGGCAACAGCGTAAGATTGCTGCTGTCTCTGCAGGCATGACGCGGCTGTTCTGTGTGAGGGGCGAGTTGGTGGAGGAGGCTTTGCTTCTCGAGGTGGTGTGTGGGCCAGCCGCCCTACGCTCCCGGGCCTCCTTGCTCCTGTTGGAACCTCTCCGCCACGTTCTCACCGTGTGGCATGGGTGCTGCTGTCCGCCCTCCAGCCGCCGTGTTGCACGACACACTGCCAAGCGTCTACGCGATGTGTGAGCTGCACACCCACACCTACATATATATTGTTTTTAACTACTTCATGAATTTAACCAAGTATGTGTTGTGACTGCCAGACTAACTTTACAGATGGACAAATTCAATGTATTTTAATGCTGATGTGGTTTTTTTTTTTTTACAAAGTAGACAACAGATGCTGTTGCATTTGGTGTGTGCTTCCCCACATGATGAGATGCTGTCAGCTCAGTGTGCCACACTTCTACTGTGTGGTGGCTGCAGATGCCCCCCAGAGATGAACATTCCTGGAACCACAACCTTGAGCCTAGAGGAGTGCGAGGAAGGTGCCGAGCCTTCTTCCTTCTGGAATGCCCTCGGTGGTCATGACCGGATGGCTTACCAAAGCCTGCTACAAGGTGCACATGCATTATAAACAGGGTGGATTGTGAGCCAGAACGACCCAGAATGCTGTGGTGGGAGTTAAAATTTCAATCCGACAACGTTCCGGAAGGAACTGGGGACACGTGTAAGTGGCAGGGAGTCGATATATATGTAATTTGTAAGTATCTGTCCTTCACACATAAAAGATACATAAAATTGTATAAAAATTCTGCAAATATACCTACCATATATACAAAAAATATTATTTAAATGAACGTGCTCAAACAGATTTTTTTTTACTTGATAGTCAGTGATCGTGTGCCACCAACTCCCCCCTGCACTCAGGCTCAGTCAAGATCTGGGCTGGGAGGGGGCGGTCTCAGGGGCGACAAGGCCCATTCCCCCTGGGTCACAGTCAGGGCACTACCATCATGGAATGTATAGGTTTAAAGGGTGCCATTGGAAACATTTTAAGCATAAATACTATTGGTAACACGTAGTTGGTGGTCAGTTGTTACTGGCAGTGTGTAATATTCACGACAATTTTCTTTGACAATGTATTCACGGTTGGTGCAGACAAGGGGCGGGAGGGAGACTCACTGAAACTCTACCGCACATCAAGCGCGTCGGGCGAGCTGGTGCTTGTGGAGTGTACCTCCAATGTGAGCGTGCCTGGCGCACCATCAGCCATGCCCTTTCTGCAGGACGACCTCTATGGAGTGGAGCAACCAGGTGAGGCTCAGAACATAGCACGATGAAATAAGAGGTGAGTCATTCCACGGATCTGTTTTGACAACGTCCGTTGCACTTGCAGGATCTGTGGTTAGTCGATTCCAAATGTAAGCAGATTGTGTCAAATACCTTTCTATTTGCACATATTTAATCAATTTTAAGCTTGGTAGACATTGTTCAAATGTCCATGAATTCCACCCTGCAGTTACTGCCACCTTGCCGTGCTCATTCATAAGGAATGGTAAAAGTATAATGAGAATTGTAAATCCTGTCCTTTATGAAATAAGAATCATTTACATTTATGTGAAATATATAATCCTGCATTGTCATGCCTGGCTTTTTAAATTGGATAACTAGATCATGGGACCTCCTTTGCCAGTACCAAAATATGAGAATAGGTTTTCCAATTTTTTCTGGCAACAAAACAGCTGTGTTAAGATGTTAAAACACCAAACTGAAACTTTTTACAAGGAATCATGTCTGCATTAACCACAATACTTGTGGTCAGAATGCAAACAAAAAACGTACTCTGATAATATATGCATTGTCTTTGAAACTGATTGGTCCACATCAGAGACAGCAAGTTGCGGTTTGTTTTGTTGCCAGACAAAAGGGGAAAAACCTTTTCTCATAGATAAATATAGTCGTACATTTTTTAAACAACTGTTGAACATTGTTACACCGTAAGAATCATTACTTTCAAAGGAATTTGAGAATATTTGTTTTATTTTATTTGTTTTTATTTATTTTATTTATTTTAATAGTCATATATATGTAATGTGGTTGTGATAAATACACATTAACTAATGCATTGCCTATTACAAAAAAGGCAAGAGCATGGACTTTACTCCATGTACTGCAAGCTGTGTTTATTTGTCATGGTGATTATAAACAGATAACACTTTTAACATACACAGATCTAAGACAGAACTTACATGTAGCAGTAACACATACAATTGTACGTTCACCAGCCGTTACACAGATTAGATTTGACACGTGAACCCCAGTGCCCGTGTAACCATACTGCCATTTGCGTCCGTCTGTGTGTGTGTGCGCGTGAGAAGCGCTGTTTGTGCTGCAGACCTCTCGCGAGGCTTACGTGTGGCAGGGCTGGTGGCCGGTTGACCGAGAGAGCACGGGCTCTAGCAGGATGCGCTGGGACACCGACCGACGGGCTGCAATGGAGGCCGCTCTCCTCCTCCACAAAGGTCCCAGCACCTTGCCAGTGCACCGCAGTTGAAGAGCAGTACAGACCGTGGCCTATGACCAATTCATTTTTTGTAGCTATGGAAGGAAACGGGATAATTCAGAAGAAACCCATGCAGAACAGGGGGAGAACATACCAACTCCACACAGAAAGGCACCCGAGTCGGGAATTGAACTCGGAGATTTCATGCTGAGGCACATGTATTACCTCAGTGCCATCCTGCTACCGATCGTATCTAGAAATGTGTCTTTTTATAACATTTTTTGCAGTGCATTAGGTAGCAGGAGAGTTTCTGTAATTGTTAGTTTACATGGCCAAATGTATAAATAAATGACTGTATTCTACAAAGATTAATAATTCCTTGTCATACTAAATTACAATTAATTGATCATTTTCCTGTCGATGATGGTGGCCAGCAGAATCCAGCGGAAAGGTGAAAGGGACGGCGGCCTACCTGGTTTATGCCGGACTGGAGCCACCATCCTTCACCAACCTCTTCCCATGCTGGGAGTCGCACCCTGACGTAGCTGCATCCAGCCAGCAGGTGCACACACACACACACCAACATCTCGAGTTGGTGTAGTTGGGGTGCTGAAAACAAGCCTCCTAGACAGTTCGTATTGACAGGAGTTAAGAATTATAATAGCTAGTCAAACCGAGTCCAGGGTTAGATCAAACAATGGAGCTGCACTCCTTCCTATCGTTTCGTCCTGAGGCAATGGTAGAATTTTATATTCCCAGTGTGGGTGATGGTCTCTCCATCGGATGATTTTTGCTTCCTACAATATGGCACTTAATCATATTTTAAAAAAACATTTTAAATGTTACTTGATACGCACAGGAGCGAGTGTGGGCCACCCTTACATAATGCATGTGGAGCTGCTCCGCGCTCTCTAAAACTAGTCTCCGCCATATGTGGAATGACTCCACAAAGTGTGGAATTGTGTCAGATTCATAAATACGCATGGGAGTGTCAGATGGATCTCAAGAACTAATGGTTGGCCCTGTGCTGCCATTATGCCTGGGTATCAGAATGTTCTAGTGGAATCCCTTGGCTGTCGAGCGTGAAATGAACATGGGTTCGGCCCACTTCATCCAACTTAATGAGACCTATATATGTTTTGTGGAAAATTTCTGCTGTCAATTCCCACTGTAAAATGTATGTTAAACTTCATTCGCACCGTACGTAGTAAACCGTGCAAAGCAAACGTATATTCCTCCTAAAATCAAATCAAATGTTTCGCTCCAGATGACCGCTGCAAAGTATTATCTGTATTTTGATTTAGTGTGCTGATATTGAAGGTGCATTGAAAAATTTGATACTCCGACTGATGCTCCTGTTGTTGTGGAGTGACTCATGCAGCCAGCTATGGCTCTAGGGTTTGGTGTTACTTGTTATTTATGTAGTTTATTGTAAAAATTCGGTCATAGTCCCTGTGATCACTGTTACGTTACAATTATGGCTTTATTTTTTGGTGATTTCTAAAACGTTTTTTGGTTTGGACATGTTTGTTTTGTTGTAGTACGGAGTTAGACTGATGGCCTTAATCTAAGTTTGCTTGTGGTTGTTGTTGTTTGACTTGCATCCCACTGGGATTTTTTGCACACAGCGTTGCTGTACGGTGCCTTTTTCAGGAATATTTTGCTGGTTTTTTTCATGGATTTTCTGTTTGCACAGTCACATAGTCACTTTAAGATGTTTTTCTTGTTCGTGTTTTTGTTTTTTTGTTTGTTGTGGTTGCACCCGATTCAAGAGCCGAATGGCTCACAGGGCTATACCAAAATAAATAAACTGGAAAAAAAAACTGAAACTCCTAAGGCATATATTGTACCTGAGATCTGTAATGCCTACTTCTTGATTATTATGCTGCAGTCTCTGCTCTCAAGTGTTCCATTTATTTGTTATGCTGAGTGCAACATGTTATTAATCGCCCTATGCATTCAGTTCAGCATATTTTTGTTATACATAACTTATAATTTATGACATTTTGGTGTGCCATTTTATGATTGAAATTGTCCAGGTCTCTTAATGTAATACAGTGAATAAAATATTTTACCTCAAGGTAACTAGTTGGGCGATTAATGACAGAGTACCAAACCATGTCCGATGTTACAGTTAAGTTTTGTGGATGTATTTGACCTCATACGGGCCATGTGCCTTCTCAGTTGCCGGACCCATTGAACTTGCTGCAGAAGCAAACGTGCCTCAATAACTCACGTGTTACCTGGTAGCTATGTAGCATATTGGAGATGTTTGGATGCAATCGTGCATTCTTTTAAAACGTTTAATAAATTGGTATTATTCGATTTGCAGAACACAGAGGTTAGAGAGAAGTGCACCTTGCTGGAGGATGCTTTGGCCCAGCTGAGCCAAACCACCTACTCGTTGGCGCAGCTCACAACGCGTCCGCTGCCGCCCGGCGTCGACCCCCTCAAGCTGGAGAGATATCTGTCTGATGTAGATTTCCAGGTCCGTGTCTGCACAATTTACATTACACTTCTACGTGATGCTTTAGATTTGAGGTTTCCGCAGCGTTGAATAAAGTTAATATTTCACCCTTTAATCGGTCATGATGATGATGACGCTTGTGACTTCATCGCCAGTTATTGCTTAAGTCGTCCTCTTTCCACCAGTAAATCTGTAGATCTCAAAGGCACACAATAGGCACCAGGTGGAAAGTGGGTGAATTATGCAACTACTAGTAATGAATTCACACGTACAGTCATACTGGAATAAATACAAATGTCAATTTTATATTTTATTGTTACATTTATATACATGGTGTGAATGTTTTTTTGCTGATAATATATTTTCAGTCGGTGCTCAACATGTCAAGGGAAGAGTATCACTCAATACCACTGTGGAAGCAAGCCACTCTGAAGAAGGAGGTTGGGTTGTTTTAAACGAATGTCAGGGATGAGTGGTACAACTGTGATATTGTCTGATATGATAATCATATTTAAATGTTCTTGCATTAAGAGCTCAGAGATAGAAGCATCCGTGTAATGGACATCCCAGCTTTGCTTTGACTTGGGAAATTGGCCCATTTACAAGATGTAATTTGGCTAGAAGTTTTGATTATGCTGCTCAAAGAACACAAAATGGGCAATGTAAAAGGGATTACTAAAACCCAGTTTTTATTATTAAGTACTATAGACTTTTGAATATAATTTTTCATTTATATTTTTTTCTAAATTGTAGTTCACTGAAAGTGAAAATGTTCAGTTCATGTCATACTGAGGTTCAGTGTTGAACTTAACAGGTGAGAATTGACTTTTTGCATTTAGAAAATGCCAATTACTTTGCAGAGCTATGTCCCTCTGGGCATGCCACATGGTGAGGTTGGACACGAGACCATTTTCCTGAGGCAGTCCATTTTCTGTGCAATTAACTTTTGGATTTTTTTTATCACAATGTGACAATTTGAGATGTTATGTTTCCTCGAGCACATAGAATGCACAGCTAGTTTTATCGTGCCCATTACTGTTGGGAAAACCATGACATGGAAAGGGCCTACCGCTGTTTTGATATTACAAGCAATTGTACGTGTTATTTGTCAACATTTTTTAAAATACATTGTTTTACATAATTACATTTTTCAACACTAAATGCTACTTGGAATAACAGCCACTGCCACTGACTTGTCTATTATAAGCACTTTTGTTAATCCTCATATGTCCTTGTTTACTGACTCAATGTTTAAAATCAGAGGAAATGTACACTTTAAATGGTGTATAAAGGACTCATTTAGTTTAACTAATGATGTTTGGCCACTGGTTACTGCTTTAAGATTGATCCGTGTAACCATTTTATTTTTTTCATGTCATTATTTTAGGTTTATAATCCGTTAACCTATTATAAACCATATAATAAATGTTTGCCTGAAATTTGAGACATCTATGGATAAAAGAGGCTGAGTAAAGTGTGCCCATCTCTAAAATCGTTTAAATACCAGCCATTCGTGTTGCCTGTTGTACACAGTTTTTACAGCCAAATAAAATGGGCTTTAGAATTTTCTAAAGAAAAATAACGGCAGTGTTTTACATTACTAATTACAGTCATGGTAAAATGTTAAAATGTACTGGAAAATATTTAAAATTGGAATAATTTTGGATTTTTATTAAGCTTTAGTTTTTATAAGATAGCTGCGAAAATGATATGTAATGAGGAAATATATCATTGTGGGAGAGCGCATACTTGTTGCAACATGCGTGCTTCAACAATACCTAAAGCATTAGCTCCAGTTTTCTACAGCATCAAAGTATTAACATAACAATACATGGCACTTTAAGATGCCTTTAGAAGATCTTAAACAAAAGCCTACCAAGTAGAACCTATGCAATGCTGTTTTTATTGGACTGAACTAAGGCTTCTGACTTTACGATTATGTAGTGCCTTTCTTCAATTGGCGCAAATTTAGTATACCCTCACCTCCTTTCGACTCATGTTATATTTACTGTTTTATTGTCATACAAATCTGTAATGATTTGAATCTGTCCATATAAATGTAATGTGTTTTACTCTCTAGGTATGTATTTTAGAATTAAGGCTAAAGCTTTGGCACGACTGCGTAACAATGTATTTTTGTTTAAATACTTCCAGTGTGAATATCGCAAGTGGAATTGCAACATTGGTTTTTGTTTCATTGATACAACAAAGTTTAATAAATTGTTCTCATCTTTCGTGGTGTAATTCATTTCTCTTTTTAAACACATTCCTGCGGGGGGAGCTGGTAGGAACGTTGGGTTGCTCGGTCAATGGCCAGGGTTAACGGCGGCACCACGTGGTGTATTCCGCAAATATGCCCGACTGTGAAGGCGGGCACAAGCCGGCGTGAGTAGGTTAAACGTTGAGTTTTATAAGGGCACCACGGGGTGACCAGCCCCTCCCCACCGAGCCCCACCTCTCCCACCCCCCACATCCCCACCCAGCCCCTCCCCACCCTCCCCTCCCCACCCAGCCCCACCGTCCCCTCCCCACCCAGCCCCTCCCCACCCAGCCCATCCCCACCCTCCCCTCCCCACACAGCCCCACCTCCCCACCAAGCCCCTCCCCACCCTCCCATTTTTGAATGCACGATGAACGGACGGACACAATAATCCCCTGTGGGCTGGTATAACCAGGAGGTTCCTGCCAGTATAACGATTTTGGCATGACTGAACATTACCAATGCAAATGATGGATCCTCAAAAGGTATAGAATAACTATAATCATCTTTACAGGATTACACAAGTTGGAAGTTCTGGGGGTTATTGGTTCCGAGGACTTTTTTTGTATTGCCGTATAGTACTGACATTTTGAATGTAACTAAAATTATAGGTATCCCTTTGACTTGTTTGTATTTCCGTATAGTACTGACATTTTTAATGTAACTAAAATTATAGGTATCCCTTTGACTTGTTATGACTGGACAGAATTTCCACATTAAAATTTCAAACAAGCAACATTGTGAAAAGTGGCAGAGCACTTATTTTAAATAATATTTCATTGATGTGATCACTCGCGTAAATGTTCAGCTGGAAAGCCAACCCAATGAGGGAGCATCTATTTTTTTCTCAAGGGGAAAATGTAGAACACCTCTCCAAATATAGCAAAATGTGCCTGAGTCTGGCGAATGGTCACCTGGTCTGATTATTTGAACATCAAGCATGAATACTGAACAGCAATTTATGAAGCATTAGGAATTTGTGGTCATCCACTGCTGGATGAAGAACCTCCCAAAGACATTTCCATATCTCACGGTCCTGAGATGTAACATTTCACCTAGCCACTTGCATATGCGCTGATGCCATCGCTTCGTCTCTGGTGAACGTGTTCTGTTTTCACGTTTTCTCCTTTAGCAACCATCTATCTTTAGTGCCGACCAATGGCCGTCATTCATTCGAGCGACGTATCCCACCAAAGCCCACTTTTGTTACATTTGAATGATATAATTAACTTTTGTGTATGCTTCAATCCATCTGTTCTTCTTTTTGCCTCTGGGTGTAATTCCAAGCAAGCATCTCTCCATGCTTATTTGTACACCCTTCAGTTTTGATTTAAAGCTTTTGTGACTGCAGGGATTCATATTCTTGGTTCTTTCGGTAAAGTCACGTAGAAGGGAAACAATAAAATAATAGAAATATAAAACAATAAAAGTCTCACGACGTTTCGACTGCAACACAAGCAATCATCAGGTGGTTTTCACACCTGATGATTGCTTGTGTTGCAGTCGAAACGTCGTGTGAAAACCACTTTATGATGATTGCTTGTACTGCAGTCGAAACGTCATGAGAATTTTATTGTTTTAGATTTTTATTATTTTATTGTTTCCCTTCTACGTGACTTTACCGAAAGAACCAAGAATATATACTCTTTAGTTTGTTCCATCTTCATTAATGTCCATGTTTTTTTATCTATGTAACAATGGGTAATCTATATTGATAAAAAAACGTTATTCTTTAGGCACATTAGTCGGTTGCCTTGCACTGTCAAGTTCTGCTTTCCATAAGTACTCGAGCCCACTGTTGTCCGCCTTATTTCATCGCAGTTGACTTCAGTCCGGCTTCAATAACTAGCCTAGGAACGCACACTGGGAGGTGTTTCCAGTTGCCTCGTGCACCACACCTCCAACCCCTCCTGCGCATAGAAAATGTGGGGTCCAACTTTGAATCTGATTACCAATCAGAGTTAACATTGCACATCTACACCAGGTATCCTTAGAGAATCGTTGCAGACAGGCCACCTGACTGGACTAATTGGGGGTAGAGGCTTTCTGGTGACGAGGCTTTTCTGGCATATTTCAAACAATCAAATAATTTATACCTTATACTGCTCTGGTCAGACCCAAATGTTCTGTGTTTGGAGTGATAACATTTCTGTGATTGAAAAAACATTGGAAAACCGTTTTAAAATGGTATATTCAACATATTTTCACCAATTATCTAAACAATATAAATTCACACTTTGTAAACATTTTATATTTTAACACAGTATTTGAATAAAAACATTGGAAACATCCACACAATAACCACAACCATCAAACTCGTAGAATAACCATGTAATTATTTGTTCTCGGACTAAATATGCTTGAAAATCACTTTTATTGAAACAGCATACAAATTTAACATTAATGTTTAAGTTATGATACAACTTGTATCATTATAGCACAATACATTGCATAGACGAGTCACAGAATGATAACGATGGCAGATACCAGGGGCTTTACAGAATAATGCAGTTGAGACCTATGAGCCCTGACGGTGAGCTATAAGCACAGTAGTGTGGCATACAGACATTGCATTGTAAATTGTGTGTGGAGACAAAGGCACTAATACTAAAGTTCATAACAGACGTTTGTTTGGGTTAGATCGCGTAAATATGTGTCGTTAAAATCCACCACCACCCGACACAGCCAACTAGTAAGGGTTGTCACGTAAACAGAACATGCCAATTCGTCACTAGTACAGCACGCCGGTGTGTTGGAGAGCCAAGCCACAACATTTACAATCAGAGTACGACGTTTCGCCAGTAATTACCACTAGCTTCATCAGTCGACATCCAGATATGTGGAGAAGTCCACCTGTTTCGTTCCTTATATAGAGGCGTAGATGTGGTGACCACGCTTCTGCGCGCTCTTGCGCCACGTGGGGGGATATTAATGAGCCAACGTACATTATGCATGCACATTATGCGAGCCCTTTGAGCTTGACCTTCCTGTCCATTGTGTGCATTAAAATAGCCGTACCAACGGTAATCCCTATTGAAATATGGTGCCCCGTATAGGCACGCATTTAAAGAACGTATTATTTGATGATTCGCTTCCACGCAGCAATAAGTCGGTGGCTATCCGAACGGTTAAAAATATGTTTTATTTATTTCAATTTCGATAGATTCCCTAGTCTTGGCCAGTAGTAGCTAGTTTTGCACAGAACTTCAACATCAAAATCAACTGAGTGTCCTTGTTGGCACGTGTTACGACCAAGTCGCTGTCCATTAAAAACTCACTTTACGCAACCCAGGAGCCAGCACAGACGAGTGCACACACTGAAAGGAATGCTTCATTTCTTTAAAAAAAAACACACATTGGATGCACGTGGAACTGACGGTGTAGCAAAAGCAATCCAGTTTTGCTTTACTTCGGGTATTTTACCATCATCTCTGATGCAAAATTATATTGATCAAGTTTGTCAATTCAAATTCTGTAAGTAAATCTATGCAATGATAACAGAAAACTTATTTTTTCCCACTAAGTGTTCAACAACTTCCACGATAGTTGTGCATGCTCCCTCACAACAACAGTCACATGACTGTCATTCGACCACACTTTTATTCTTGTACAATGTAAAAAGAGCATTATACTGCACATTTACTTCATCAGTGTGTGAGAAGTATGGTTCCATGATTTTCCTTTCCTTGAAATCGGAACATTTTTGCTAACTTGAATCTCCTAATATATACAGTACTGGCAGACCGATAGTTCTAAAGTGCAACTTATTAATGTTTAATTGTAAAACATGCTTTCTTTCTTGCTTTGAAGCCAGCCAGATTGTCAGAACATTTATGAAGTGGGTACTGAGCCAAAATGTTAATATTTCATGTTTAAAATGTATCTTTGGTCATTTCAACAAGCTTAACCCAGTTTCCAAAGTCAGAGATGGATCACATCCCTTGAATGCTGAATGTAAAATCTTATCTTTAAAGTCAAATATCAAATATATCACATGCATATGAAGCAGCTGTATCAAAACATTTACTGAAAAAGATCAATCGTATTCCTGGAAATATCATATATTGATCGCTCGCACATTCTTAGATGTCTTTGGAAATTGTAAAAATATAAAGTTATAAAAAGAAACAGACCTATACATTTTCTATTTGGCTTTCTCCTCATTTTAGGACACGATATGCTTGTAAATTAAAACAATTTCAATTTAAACAATATATCCCTTGCAATCAGACACTAGATAAAAAGTCCATCATCTTGAACCTTTTGTTAACGGTGGCATTGCAAACAAACGTCATATAATCATGGTGAGTTTTACACAAGGTGTTCCTGTTTCAATGATAAAACAGGATCTGGTCCCATTTTTTACGATATACCCTGTAAGTATCTTATTATTAAGTGATGTATGAATGCTGTTTAGCCTTGAGATTATTGTGACAATCACTGGATCATTGCAGGAGTCAACGGTTAATGTCTATAACCTCACCTAAGGATGCCTTCCTCATGCTGTATTGATTAAATCACTATGGAGCCATATTCTTGGTTCGTTCGGTAAAGTCCGTAGAAGGGAAACAATAAAGACTTTACAGAAAGAACCAAGAATATGAATCCCTGCAGTCACGAAAGCTTTAAATCACTATGGAGCCAGTTCATGGAGCTATTGTTGGCAGAATAGTTGTTTTTGTGGAAAGTCAGCCACATTCCACATTTTTCAATTCATTCGGGGCCAATTCCCCATTTTAAAGAGCCTATTACGCTACTGCACAAACCACAATTGCAGAATGAGCCAACGTTGGCGGAAACGTTTTTCCATCGCACAGAATCCCAACAATTGCACCTGGGGGGGGGGGATGAAGCTCGTGCAGGGAACGTGGACGTGGAAACTTGTGTACTTGTCAATCCACTGCTGGATGAGGGCCTCCCTAGGTCATGCGGATCAGGAGGTTATTTGTGCCATACTTGAATGCTGGGCTGTGTGGCTTGAAGACTGAGCATAAGCATGACAGCATGGATTTTTCTGCACTGCCCACTGCTGCCAACATTGCATTGTCACTTAATGTGCCTGATGCCTCCATGCTGCAAAAAATATTTTCAGAGGTACCGGGATAATTTGAGCACCTATTTCGTTCCTCTTGAATTGTACGGGAAATGCCATGGACATTCAGAAACTGATGTTATAAAAGTCATAGAAATTATAATTGTCTTTGTTATCATGTTGATCATCGCAATTATTGCTATAAAAATTATTTTTGTTCATCATTATTATCAGCATATTCAACATTGTCTTCAGTTTCTTTTAACAAACGTTAAGCTGCCATTGGATTTGCGCTGCTATTCTGCTCCTTGGTGGAGGAGAGATGAAGCCTTGATTGGTTGGCTCGGGCCACCAGCTGGAATGTGCGCTGATGGCAGCAAGCACGACCTTGATTCTCCTTCAGCAACTCCCTCCGGCTAGCGATTGGCGGTGGATTTTATGGGGGAATGGAGTTCAATCCATTCTGCCCGGTGAACTGGGCCAAAACCTTACACATGAATTTGGTGCAATAACCAAATCGTACAGGAATTGAGACAGCATGGAACCAATTTCTAAAAAGAAACCACAAAGGACCTGTGTCGTGATTGAAAGGTTACATTTGAGAATAACCCTATACTACAAAATAAAATAAAAGCTTCCCTGGTAAAATAAGGATCAAGCTAGAACACGCAATAAAATGTAACTGAAATTATGGCATTGCATTTCTGCAGACAGAATTGTTTAAACACTGTTTAATTGATCATTTAAAGTAATTAATGATCACGTAGTATTTAAGGTTTATCTTATGTTCCATTTATTTTAATCAACCGCATCAAAAAAAACTAGGAAGTAAAAAACCTATGAAAAGCTCGGCTCATACCAAATGCAATCACAATAGGCAGGGCACATTATAGGTGAAAAGTGGATGAGTAAACAATGGGAGATGAATTAGTTGTGTTAAATTATGGACACTAAAATGCACTTTTATAACCTGTATATTTTCACACCTCTAGAGGATAACACATCGTAACTTTACGATGGTGAAATATAAAAAAATGTACCATTTACTTGATCTTTAACAATTCTTTTCGATAGCACAAGGCAGAATTCAGCCTTTTAACAAGAATGCTGTCCTATTCGGTGATACAAAAAAAAAATACTTCCAGTTCTATTACAGCTGTCGCTGTTAACAAGCAGAGCAAAAGTAATAAAGGAAACGACAACAAAGACGATCATTCACCGAGCTAATCCATAGCTTCGTTGACTTCAATTTCACTCACCAGGAGATTTCTATCACTACCGCTTCCCTCTAGAGCCCGGCTACCGCCACCTCCACGTGTATATAGTGCATTCTGGAAAGTGGAACAGCCCTGTGGCCCCCTCGTTTCATAACTGTCACTGGCGCAGTCTACACGGAGCCTGCGGGCTTCGTTATGGCGGCGCCGCCGACTGCGGTATATCCAGCAGATGAGCAGGAAAGCCCCAACCACGCCCAGCAGCATGAGGACAAGGCCCAAGACATCCACAAGAAAGCCGTACGTCTTGACTGTTTTTTGGAGAAACACACACACACACAAACGCACATGGTTTGCTTTGCATTTCCGTTTCAATGTACGTACATATCTTCCCATGCACCTGCATATATGTGTATACCTTCACATGTTTGAACTTACACTGCATTATATGGTATATTAATGCTGCTCTAATATCCAAAATAAAATAGCCTGGTCATGGGCATGATGCCTGAGAGAATAAAGGGCCATCCGCCACAGTTTATGCACTTTCCATCAACTACATGCCCATTTGGTAATGCTAAGGACCACCAGATTGCATTCTGAAACTTAAGATGTATATAGACATTGTTTAGATTTGAGGCATTACATGCATGCAACCACAAAACATGAATTAATCCAAAAAGGTATGAAACAGAATCTTTTCAAGACAATACCATAACTCTAATTCATGCACAACAGTGAATTTGTATTTTAGTAGACAACGAAAAAATAATAGTTACAAAGCAATGATCCAATATTGTTGTTGTATACAGCTGCTGGACAAATGCTTTCACAGTACAGAAGTCATGCTTTCTAAAGTGTGACACATTTACATACATCATTAAAATGAGGGTTTTTTTGATGACTTATCCATCTACTGCTGGATGAAAGGCTACCCAAGTAGCTGCTTACCCTCACAGTCCCACAATGCAACAATCCACCCAGAATGTCATCGCCCCATCTCCGTTGTAGACGTGTGCTTGGGTGTCTTCCCTCCTTTGGCTCCTGCTCAGTAATTATCCTTGCCCATTAGCCATCACTTCGTGACATGTCCTGCCCAACCCCACGTATTTTTCTTAACAGTCAAATCTGCAGATGTATTGAATCTGCATATGTTCACAATCCATTGTTTCCCTTTCTGTCTCGGTGTATTCCAAGCATGAATCTCTCCATACTTCGTTGTGCACTCTTGCACCTCCGATTAGCACGGTTGGCTATGTACAGTGCGAAAGAAGTTCAACATACATACACTCTTAAGCTTTTGTTGGTCAGGGACTATGTTTCTGAACCATATGTCAGGGCAGGCAATACACACTAGTTAAATATTTTCCTCTCCAGACATTTATCTTTCCAAAAGCACTCCAGTCTGCTCTCTAACCATAAAATACCATTAATTAGCATTAAAAAAAGTGTGCAGAGAGTTTGTAGAGGTTCATGCTTGAAATAATACTGAGTGACAGATATCATATTAACTGTTGAAAAGAGTAAGTTTCCTTGGACAGGACACATCACGAGAAGGAATGGTCGTTGGACAAGGCTTGTGATGGAATGACAGCCAGAGGAGGGAACACACTTGAGAGGAAGACCACCCAATTGATGGCACGATGATATCAGCTCACGGATTGTGACATGACGGATTGCAACAATGTAGAGGAGCCTGCATCCAGCGGTGGATATATCAAGACGGACGATAACTTGCAATGGGTGAAAATAACTTACTTTTCATATGGGTGCTGTGATCTGAATCTTTCACTGCCAAAATAAAATCAATTCATTAAGCATCGCCACAGTGAAATGTGCTTTTTTGCATGTATAGCCAGCATACTTTAACCCTTGTCCACTTCTGATATATTCTATGCGAGACCTCCATTGCTGCAAGTTGGCTAAAATGTCATTTCTGCATTATTTCAAATGATGAGTCATTTTTTTATTGTATATTACACAATCGTGCACTAAACACAATTTAATATGTTTGACATTTAAACACTACGTGTACAGGGCAGCAACCAAGATGCTATACCCTCCCAATTCAAAACCTCCCATGTGAGCATTATATGCAATTTTATTCTGTGAATACCACATTTACAGAGTTTAACAGAGTTAAAAAGCTATATATGCTGATGTCTGTGACCTGTTATGTCTAAGGCTATGTATGATTTTGTTACAGAGGTCTTCGCTGTCATAGAAATATTGAATTTGAACAAAGTGCATGACATTTTGAAAATAGCTGTAGAAACACATTGTATGTATGTCCAACTTATTTCACACCAATACATAGCCAACCGTGCTAATCGGAGGTGCGCATATACGAAGAGATGTCACACATTTCCGGTGGGTGACATCTGTGTCACCACGCCCACCCCAACTTCAGCAAACATGCAAAAGGACACCCATTGTTCACATACTGGTCCACCTCTCCCCATCACACTTCAATTTACTGCCGATATTTAGCGATTGCTCCCTCCTCAAGGTTATTATTTGTTTGCTCTTTCCCCAAGGTGAAGCCGATCACACCCCTATAAATAGTATATGACAGGGGACAGTTCTAGGAGAAACAACCCTATACTTGGGTGACTAAAAATAGGTGAGCACTACATAAATAATGCACCTTCTATTATTGTACCATTTTAAAACAGCATCACTGTGAGGAAAGTGTAGCTAATGGCCCCTTTCCAGAAGGTCCCAATCGGAACCTAAATAGAGTTTAGTTTGTTGTCCTTCCCCAGGACATCCGATTAGCACGGTTGGCTATGTACGGTTCGAAAGAAGTTCAACGTACATTCATACAAGGGGTCACAGAAAAATGTACATGCACAAACGGTACCTCGAGGCATCTTGCATATGAGGCCAAGGCCGGGGGTGGTGCATGTAACCAGCTCCCACTTCCCAGTACTTGTCACCATCCACGCACACAGATCGGCATCCATGAGGCCCTGTGGATCGCCGTGCGCCCAGTTGGTGTAGAGGAGCTCTGAGCCATCCGCCCAGCGCAGGTCACCAACTTCAGTGAAGGGAGGATAACATTCATTGTATGACTACCTATATATGCCAAAATGCACACAAAGCTGTAGTCTCAATCTGTGGTTCCCACACTGCTCTATGAACCCAGTGGCGATCACATGAGCAGCAAATAATACTTGGAACTTCTCCTATGTGTCCGCTTCACTAAGCCGCACTGACCGACATAGTGAAGTATGATTAAAACTGATGACTTATATGGCATTCATGAAGATTTGAATTGACAATGCACTGTAAATAATTTTTTGTATTCTTGAGTATAAGTGAAAGAGATGGCTAAATGTCTGTTGATAATTACAACTTTACCACGAACAATAATTCAATCCAATTGAATTTTGTATCACACCTCACTGAAGCAGGCAAATGCATTTGTCTCTCCTGATTGGTATTACATCCTCTCACACGTAAATCTGCTTACATGAATACCTTGAATTATTTATATTTAGAACATCTAGTGTATATGTACCATCAGTGTCATAGCTGAGGCTGAGCCAGATGCTTGATATGTGCTGTTGGTAGGGCTGCAGGTTTTCCCACACGAAGGTATTCTCCTGCTCATCCTGAATGGACAGTGGTTTGGCCTGGGGATCTGAAAGACATTTGTGTGCTTGTGTCAGAATACATGTCTTTGAATGAACACAGGAAAAGTACAAACATAAAGTGGTAAAATAACCCACACAAAATTCAACCATGAATAATGAGCTAAAAAGTTTTGGCAGACACAATATTTATCTGACAAAAAGTTTTTATCTTATAATTCATGGTTGAATTTTTGGTTGGGCCATGTAATAATATGGCCAAATTTGTGTCGTTAATATCCTCCACACCTGACAAAGCCAAAAAAATATAATTGTCACGTAGTGTACAAGCATTTAGCGCTCTGAATATCATTATTTCAGCTAATCCACAATGTGCTCTAAATAAATAAATATTGCTGTTTTCTCTTTTACTTTATATTCACCCTAATATCCACCAGAAATAAAATCTGTTTCTTGATACTGGTAAAAAAATAGTTGTCTTTTAACTTGAAAATAATTCGAATATATCCATAAATGTATATGTTTCCTAGAGGTGTGCTTACGGATGGAGGCACAGGCCTGTGCTGCACCATCCTGGTATGTGGTGCGCTCCGGATAGAAGGCGTAGCAGTTTCCACGAAAAGGCAACCAGGACGAGCTGTTGATGGAGTGCGGGCACTGCCCCTGGATGGTACTCTTAACGGGAACCGCTTCTAGGTACGTGACACAACAGAATACAGCCATAACTGTCAACATCCAAAACGTAATAATCACTGATACATTGTATTGCAACGTTACAACTACATTAAATACATACTCTTTGGTTCTTTCGGTAAAGTCACGTAGGTAGAAATACAATAAAACAAATCGCGACGTTTCGATCGCAACACAAGCACTCCTCATCAGGTGGAACACCCACAGCAAGAAAATTCTGAAGTAGGCGAGAGAGCTGCCGTGGCAAGAGGTTATATAGGTAAGAAAGGGGGGAGGCAAGGGGGGAGAGAGAGAGAGAGGGGGGGAGCGTGAGCGCTAGGGGAAGAGGTCGTGAGGCTGGGGGGGGAAATTGGGCGGGGCTAGAAGTTGGAAGCTGAGTGTGGGACACGGGGGGGGGGGGGGGAAATAAAAATCTACTAGTAAACGGCAGGTAGGATGGAAACAACCACAACCAGTTAAGGCATTACCTAGTTAAATTACATCCTTCCAATGATTGTTCAATTTGTATCCATCTTCTCGGTTGAAGTTATGTGTATGTTTACATATCTGGATGGCTTCATGAACAAACCTTTCATAGTTGCCCGAAGGTTTGCAGAGTACCTTGGTCTCGGAAAAACTATATCATGCGAGCCCACAGCATTATAACAATGGTCAGCTACGGCAGAGGTATTGGTCCTGCCGTGTTTTAGATCTGCTTTGTGTTCGCGAACACAGTCCGAGACATGTCGTTTCGTTTCCCCAATGTAACTGCTAGCGCAGACACAACTTAGTTTGTAGACACCAGGGTATTGCATGTCAGGAATAATCTCCTTCATAGATGGGATTAGATCACGGATTTTGTGTACTGTATTGAATCGGACCTGGATCTTGTGTTTGTTTAAGATTTTGGAAATCTTTTGAGTAACACCTGCAATGTATGGTAAAGTGATGGTTTTGATTGGCTTTTCAGGAGATTGTTTCTCCATGGTTGGAGAAACAGCTTTGCGAATAATGTGGTCTGAGTACCCATTGATCTTGAGGGCTTGGTGTACGTGTTCCAGTTCACTGGCTAGGTGGTGTTGGTCGGAGATGCAGTGGGCCCTATGGTGTAGTGTTTTGATGAGGGAATTCTTCTGGGCCGGATGGTGGTGGGAATCAGGTTTTAGATAGGAGTCTGTGTGGGTGGCTTTCCTGTAGACAGAGTGTCCCAACGAGCCGTGAATTTTATGGATGGGTGTATGGAATTGATGTGGTTGAGAAATTGGTTCAATGCTGGCAGGCCATGTGGCAAAATGATGAAAGTGTCATCTACGTATCTCTTCCACAAGAAAGGATGTAGAGTGGATGTCTGGATGGCATCTGTTTCAAATTTCTCCATGAAAACATTCTCTATCACTGGTGATAAGGGGGAACCCATGGGGGTACCTTCATTTTGTTTGTAGAAAGTACCATTCCAGTTGAAGTAAGTGTTGGTAAGGCAGTGCCTAGCCAAAGTTGGTACATCAGGATTCAGTCCATGTTGGACAAAGTCTTCAATTATTGCTAAGGTTTCAGGTACAGGAACCTTGGTGAATAGAGAGACTACATGAAAGCTGACAAGCAAATCATCTGGAGACAGTGAGATGCCCTTGGTGAGAGAGACCAAGTCAGCTGAGTTACGTACTGCTGAGGTAGTCTTGCCCGTGAATGGAAGCAAGGTCTCAGACAGAAATCAGGCCAGTTTGTAGGTAGGTGAGTTGATAGTGGAAACGATGGGCCGAAGTGGAGTACCATCTTTATGGATTTTTAGAAGACCATAGAATCTTAAACAAACACAAGATCCAGGTCCGATTCAATACAGTACACAAAATCCGTGATCTAATCCCATCTGTGAAGGAGGTCATTCCTGACATGCAATACCCTGGAGTCTACAAACTGAGTTGGACCTGTGGTGGGTGTTACATCAGGTAAACAAAACGACATGTCTCGGACCGTGTTCACGAACACAAGGCAGATCTGAAACACGGCAGAACCAATACCTCTGCCATAGCTGACCATTGTTATAACGCTGTGGGCTCGAATGGTATTGTCTTTTTCGAGACCAAGGTACTCTGCAAACCTTCAGGCAACTATCAAAGGTTTGTTCATGAAGCCATCCAGATATATAAACATAGAGATAACTTCAACCGAGAAGATGGATACAAATTGAACAATCATTGGAAGGATGTAATTTAACTAGGTAATGCCTTAACTGGTTGTGGTTGTTTCCATCCTACCTACCGTTTACTAGTAGATTTTTATTTTTTCCCCCCGTGTCCCACACTCAGCGTCCCACTTCTAGCCCCGCCCACTTCCCCTCCCCCCAGCCTCACCTCCTCTTCCCCAAGCGCTCACGCAGCCCCCTTCTCCCCCAACCCCACACCCCCCCCCCCCCTCTCTCTCTCCCCCCTTGCTCCTCCCCCTTTTCTTACCTATATAACCTCTTGCCACGGCAGCTCTCTCGCCTACTTCAGCATTTTCTTGCCGTGGTTGTTCCACCTGATGAGGATTGCTTATGTTGCAATCGAAACGTCGTGATTTGTTTTATTGTATTTCTACCTACGTGACTTTACCGAAAGAACCAAAGAGTATGGATTCCTGCAGTCACGAAAGCTTAAAATCATTACTTTAAATACACTCAATTGCATGGCACATTTCCCATATAATTTGCACTTCAAAGTCAGTGGCAGAAGTATGAATCACACCCGTATGTGAATCACACAGTGGCAAGGTAAGCAAGAGGCCTTACCTTGTCGACTCATGCAGATGGCACCCTTGAGGAGCGTCTTGCAGCCTGTCACCTTCCACCAGCTGTCACGATCGATATAGACGCAGCCCTCGATCGTCTGGGGCTCGCCTCGCATCCAGTGTGTGTAGGGAACGTGATCATCATAAATCCATTCGTAGCCTAAGCCACCTGACTGCGCATACATACAAAAGCACGTGCATGGTCGCGCACATGCAAGTAGAAGCACGCACACGTTTATCAACAAAATTCGTGATGGTCATGAAAGTAAAATTTCGGGACTGGAATCATTATAACATATACAATGACTTATTTATCTAGAAAGGCACACTGAATCCAATAAAACAAAATTCAGAAGGGGTCTGCATTCTATGTGTTATATTAAGATGTTTACAGCCAATAAACATATAGGTATGTAGGAGGACAATGGAGCACCAGCAGTAAAGATACGCGTGTGTGAGGGCAACATTCTATTCCATACAAATGGGACAAATTATATTATTCCACATTTGCTGTACTTCCTTCTCCTGGTGAGCCAGAGTATGGCACACGACATTGGAAAGTATTACTGAATATATATTTTTTATACGAGGTCAAGAGTTTATGGAACAATCCCCATTCTATGAGATTTGTTTTTTTACATCAACTACATGGTCTCAAGTCATGTTCTGCAGTGGGCAGAAAGAGCAGTGAATAATTAATTCCTGATTACTATATAAAATTATGGCTACAGAAGCTATGGAATGTAGAACAAAATGAACATTCTGAATCAAGTGAAATTAGATGCACATATGAAAGCATTGAATACAAATCAAGCCGTAATATAAAAAAGTGTAACAAAATGAATATTATTCTTGGTTCTTTTTTCAAAATATTTATATACTTCTGACCAACGGAGATTTATAGAGACAAAACGCCTACGATAACATCTTCTTACTACCAAATGTGTGCTTTCACATGGCTCACAAACAAAAACGTGTACGTATAATTTACACAAACTTTTCATTCGCTAAAAGAGTAAGAAGACGTGTGTGTAAAGTTTTATCAACCTGGTTCAAATTGCTGTCAATAACTCTTCATTGATGGACGATAACTTTTGGGAGAGACACACTGTACATGCACAATACGGGATCCATACTCTTTGGTTCTATTCGGTAAAGTCACGTAGGTAAAAAATAAAATAACAAAAATCACGACGTTTCAGCCACAACCGTGCTGTCATGATGACAGCACGGTCCCTTCACCTGATGAAGGCCACTTGTGTTGTGGCCGAAACGTCGTGATTTTTGTTATTTTATTTTTTACCTACGTGACTTTACCGAATAGAACCAAAGAGTATGGATCCTTGCAGTCACAAAAGCTTCAAATCTAGAAAACAATACGGGATGTTTTATTATAACGGAGGTTCAAGTCAAAAACTCCGCACATCAAAGCTGGAGAGGCCGATCCACAGCGGCGATGCCACGCGGTCGAGCACGAGTGTGAGGAACGCCTGGTGTCGCGGGTCCATGATGCTGGCCAGCACCGTGTCACGGCGCTCACAGAGCCACGCCGCCTCAGGCCACGACAGGCTGTACAGCACCATCGTGTACGTTACATTATCCATACGCAGTGTGTCCACAGCGAGCGGGTCTGGGATCGGTGACGGAGATGGAAGTGCCGGGTCTAAAATGTGTACACACCCGCGCAGAAAATCCTCGGTCATAGTGGAACGAAGGAGGGGGGGGATTGACAACAGAGTCTCTAATAGTCAGGATAAGCGTTATGTTTGACTCGTCAGGGGAATCGATATGTGAAATTAAGGGGAAAAAAATATTTACTCATATAATTGTTCCAGCACTAATATGCACAATGGTAGGCAGCAGGTGAAATACTGAGGAGGAACACAGGCGTATCAGGTACTTAAATGGCATGAGGCTAAGGACTAGTATTACACTTCAGACTGCGGGACTCCATCTTATATCTGTTGATTGCTAAGAGGCTGAAAATCTACAGCGATTCATTGACTGGAATCCCTTTTAAAGCAGGCAGTTATTTGAGTGGGGAACAGTGCCATGAGTCTAAAGAAAAGTATGGAGGGTAGCTACCTGAGCTCAAGTGCATACTCTGCCGTCTCTGTTGACAGGTATTCCAGACATGGTAGAATAGTTTTCGAACAGCTCTTACACATTGGAGTTATTGAGGAATTTATTTGACAGGGCCCGCCTGCAAGTGTGCAGCAGATGTCAAGAGCCTGCTGTGGCAGCCAGGGGTGCAAGTGGCTTGGGACCCAAATTAAAATAACATGCACAATGGGTCCTAGGTGGGATCAGGGTGTGCCTGGCAGGCCATCAGGCCATAACTAAAATTCCACGCAGTGCTGTGGCATGGAGCCGACGTATAGCCCAATTCCCACCCACAATGCAAATAGGCACCCCTCTCGCACACCCTTGGTGAGAAAAGTTATTTTTTAAAAATCACACTGAAACATTAAATAATCGTACGTGAATAAAAAAAAAACCACATTGATTCTACCTTTGTATTTTTGGCAGATAAAGTTGTGCTCCTCCAGCACACAGTTCCGGCTGTCCCACTTGCCGGTAAAATGGAGTGGAGGGCCATTCCACACCAGCACGCAACTCACCTGCATCACCAGCCACAACCAAAATAGAGAACAACAGCAATTTAAGAGCATAGGTCATCACAGTTACAATTCTGAGTTGGGAATTGTCAACTGCTGCTGGTGGGTTAGATAATCTTAGGATGTGTGTAAAAATAATTTGCACCATTGTAAAAAAACACCATTATGCTAATGCTACGCCACTGTATACCAACTGCTCAATGCTCTCCAGTTAAGTGGCAAAACGAAAATATTAAAAGTTCAATAATGAACAATCACTCACCTCGACTCATTAAACGTAACAGGACACAACGATGACTCAATGTAGATGTAGCCCAACTTTAAGGGAACTATAAACAGTAACACTTATCGCTGGCATTACAATTAGAAATTGCATGAAATCTCAAGCAGGCCTGATGGTTTCCATCATATTAGAAATGCATTTTCAAAATTGTCATCTTAAAATTCTCAATTTCAGGTCAAGAGGTCATTGTGGCCAATGTCGGTGATGGGATAACGCCCTCGTTACCACTTCCTCCCGCTATATCCTGTAGCACAGTCAACACCAGACCTCAAAGGCCTGCTTTTCCAGCTACCTAACATCTGGCTTTTTGTCTTCACCTTGGTCTCTGACCTCTGGGTGCCAATACAAAATAATTACCCATCTTGCTCCCTGTCACATATGTACGTATGATATACGTGGAGACTGATTTATGTAGCCGAAGTAGTGATTATTCCATCTGTTTTCAGTGGAATGACAGCCTTCCTTTCACATACATAATTGTGCAATTGTTCCCTTCTCAAATTCAATCTGTATCGTCAAAGCTGTCCCTCCAAAAATGATTTGTTTTACAAAGAGGCTTGCAAATGTTACAGGACTTCGATTCTCACAATTTCCAAAAGCTTGTTGCAACACTGCATATACTTAAATCTTTACGTCAAACAACAAAATGCACGAATGATACGTACAAAGTCAATCTTGTCGTTGCTCCCTTGGTCTGCTTTGTCTGTGTTGACCCAAGCAGGATGCATCCAGTTGGTGAATGTGACATTGTGTTCTTCCAGCCACGTGAATGCCCCCACGCTCGCACGCACATGCAGTCCCACCCAGTAGCTGTCTTGTCCCGGTGCCAATTTCAAGATGATAAATGCTGCAAACACACATTCACAAATGTGGCGCAGTAGGAACACTTGCACCTTTGCAGCAAAAAAGGGCCCTCGGTTCGATTCCAGACTTTGGCACCTTTATCTCTGGAATTTGTATGTTCTCGCCCGGTTCGGAATGGGTTTCCTCCATATTATATGAGTTTGTCCCATAGCTAAAAAATATACAATGTTTTGGACAAACATCTGAAGAATTACCTACAAATTACTTAATTGGGATTACACATATAAATATCGCCCAATAATGCTAAAGCTTGGCAGGACCCTCCTGAAAAAGAGATGAAATTCAGCAAGGCTTTTCTGGAGAAATTAGTGTATAAAAATAACAAATTCACAAACATGTCTGCAAGGCCCACATGTTTGTATGCAAATCTGTCACTCAAGCCCATCACAAAATATAGAGTACAAGAAAATATAAACACCGATTGTATTTGACTACCATTTTACATAGCCCTAACTATAAAATTCCACTTTATTTTCTCATATGCATGTTATTGTGTGCATTATGCAAGACCTGCAAATAAAGTCAGCAAGTGTGCAGAGGTGGGTTCGCTAGGACAGACAGGCACCTTGCTCGAGATGGTTTGCAATGGTGGCCAGGGTTGCATCCTGGCTCTCGCAGTACTCCTTAGCACCCATCCACGTCCTTGCCTGCCCAGGCCCATCCACAAATCCCAAGCACTGCACCACACAGCACACGCCAAGCACACATATTGCCGTCTCTCCAGTCGAATATATAAAACAATACATTTTCAGGGACTGTTATTCCAATCCTTTGTTGACTATTCAACCTTATGGAAATGTTTGGATTAAAATATTTTAATCTGTTACAAACCAATGCCTAAATAAACGCATTTTTGGAAATACTTAAAACCATTTCCCATAATGGAATTAGTTGCAGTGAAGAGTGCGCAGCTGCATGCAGCACTAGTTTGTCACCTTATCTCCAAAAACATGCCAGCCATCAGGACAGTTCCCCCAGCCTGACGTGGCAGGGTGTAGAGGAGTAATTGGAACTGGCATTGTGACATTCCAGCGCTTGCACACTGCTGGGAGCTTCATCCCACAGCGCATGTCCCCCCAAGTACCTGAGAACCATCAAAACACATCCTCGTCAACAACAACACTCTTGCTATCCAATCAAAACACAATAAGAATTTGGTAATGTTGCTTTTGCAGTGGTGCACAGGCCACTAATAACAAAACAAAAAGTTAACACGTTTGTTACTAACATTGCCTAAATAAGATTTCAAAAAAATATAATCAGGCAATGTCCTGATTAAAGAAGTCGTTCCCCAAAACGTTGCCTATTATATATTTATTTTCATTTTTATACACTGTTGTTGACAAATGTGTTGAGTTTTTTAAAAATATTTCCTATCTAACTATGTCCTTGACAATGGTATCACTGTATTCAAAGATGTGGCATTATCTATTCAACATCTCAGCCGGTGGTTATTTCCATTGGCAGCCCTTATCCAGTGATGTAAATTCCACCTTCATGAGGTGGAACCTTAACTCTCTGTAAGACAATCAAGAGCATAAAGTGGGAAGACTTTTTAACCAAACATCGACGACCTAATGGCAGCACCACCAAACGTGATGCCGAATTTTGTTTTGTAAACAGTGCAACAGCCGGTATTGACAGAAAACTGACTTAATTTTACTGAATTGACTGAATAATCACAATAAAAGAACCGCCCTCACCCTTGTTGGCAGACATGTAGACGCAGGTCTGGAATTTGCGGGCTGCATTCGGTCTGCTTTCTGCCCATGCCATGAACGTCAACAATGAACCATCCGACCACCTACCCACACATAAAAAAGGGACATTACTGCATACTGCAATTGTGTGCAAAGTGACTTACAGAAATAATTTCAGAGTTTTGTAGAGGAACCAAACCTATATATGCACTCACTACATGTTATTTTGTCATGTTGTTTCATTATGATAAATGATATTCATGATAAATGATATTCATGATAAGTGGCTGACTCCCCTTGGCTGTGGCACTCTTGATACTGGCTTTATGATTTTCAGGGATTCACATTTTACCCGAAGTCTTAAAAGTGCCTTTGGTACTTGCAAAGGAGGTGCCATGACGAATGAACATTACCAAATTCTAAAGGTTTGGCACTATTGTGTCAATATCGCACAGAGAGTGACCGCTCAAATTCTCGCACGCTCATTCATGAACGGAATCTAACTTGATAATTGTTTTTTTACCCTTTTATCTGGCAACAAAACTGAAACCTCTTTTACAAGGAGTCATGTTTGCATTGACCGAAATACCTGCCGTCGGAATGCAAACAAAAAACATAACTCTGATAATGTATGCACTGTCCTTGAAATTGATTGGTCCACACCTGAAACAGCTTTCCTTAGAGCCTAGTCTCACATGGTGTTAGACCAGATGACGCCAAAAGGCCTTTTTTTGCCGTCCTCTGGTTTAACACCGTTTTGAGACTAGTATACATTGTAGTAAAACAATGTATACTTGATGCCTAAACAGTGAAAATGTTTGCTGTAAAGTATCATGATCAGTGTTTGGAATACAGTATAAGGATTTGATGTGCATTGCTCACACTCTTATACCATGTGCAGTATGAACTCTGTACTGTTTGCATGTTTTTTTAATTATGTTTATAATAATGGAAATCCTTCAATGTGCTTCTTACATTGATGGGGATATTATACAAAACAAGTTAAATAATGGGCCCATTTCCTGAAGTGAAATGATTCCCCATTATGCATCCCCATTATGCATCCCAATGTGTTCTGCCACGTCTACAATGCATTACTCCAAGCCTACATTCTGTACAGTGAAAATAACCAAAGTGTGCAGGGCTAGGGCTGGAGCCAGGATAGGACTGCACAATTGCAGAATTGTTCAGAAAATCTGTACTGAAAGCTGCACACTATGGCTTTAAAGTGAGTTTTCAATAGTGGTGGTTAGGGGATAAGACTTTTACGCATTTGCTGCACGTGTTGGTAAGATGTAAATATTTACAGGAATGGTTCTGCACTTAGTAATACAATTCCAAACTATCTTCGCACACTCTAACAATGTTTTGCAGAAGTCATTATTTCCAAAACATACTCTCTATTTATTGTCTACAAATTGATACTAATTTTATTAACCCAGAGGGATGATGGCTTTATTTGACCTCCGGGCAGGATTTCACCAGACAACCTTTACATTTTAAGTGGCATGCTTTGTGGCAACACTGCGTAGGCAGCTAAGACAATATAAACATATTGATCTCACTGCAGGGGCTGGGATAAAGATGTAAAAAACACACACAACCAAATGAAAATACATTTTAGCCTAACCTACCAAAAGCCAACCTGATTGTGGGTGGAAGTGGGACTCACTGAAGTTCACTATCACCATCCAGCATGCTGAGTCCAATCCACCACTGCTGCAGCGAGGCCTTGGACAGCTGTAGATGTATACACACGTGCACATGTACAGCAGCAACAGCTCTCCAAGCCAGAATCATAATGGAGGCAGAGCTCTTCTGAGTATGGGAGTCGTCTGCCATGCTGCAAATAACTAAATAACAGTTCATTCCAAATGTTAAATGACACTGACATGTCACAAACTCCTATGCATTTCATTCAAATGTATTTAATGCACATGCACACACATGCACAGCTACATGCACAAAGACATTCCCACATACACAGGCAGTATGTATGTTGAACTTCTTTCGCACCACAGCACAGTGATCTCTGTGTGGCTTTATAAGCATTGGTTTTCAACCTAAAGTTTGTCGTGTACCCCCCACCGGACCGATCAACTATCCGCGTACCACCATTTAATTGTGTACATGTTTATACCACGTACAACGTTTATTCAGTGATTTTAAACATATGAACAAATTCAATAAATAGTTACAATTTGATATTTTACAATTTTATAAAACTTGAGACATCACTTTATGGTTTGACCCGAGTCACTTGACCATCGCCATGAAGCAGAGGTGGAAGGCTGGAACACTTGAAAAATGTCCTTAAGGGCTTGTAGAATTTGTTTTGTTTATTTGTAAATAAATTGTGAAAAAATGCTGAGCTGTTGCAGCACGGGGATGGCCTAGGCGTCCAAAGGCACCGTACATTTAACAAGCCATCGTCTTTAAAACACCATTTTCTCATCAAAGGAGTATAAAACATCGTGCAAACTACGGTCATCCTCGCAACAGCGGCTTTGGCCATCGGACAAAAACGGTCATCACATCGCGTGCTTTCAAATGCGCTTCTGCGGACACCTGGAACGCTCTTCCTTTCGATAATAGGAAAACACTGGAGCTATGAACTTTTAAATCTAGAATGAAAACTAATTTCTTCACCACTTGTTTTTGTCTTTAGTTTTGTTGTCGTTCCCCAAACCTCTGATTAGCACGATTGGCTGTGTATGGTGCGAAATAACTTCTTTCTACATACGTTTCTGTCAAGTGCCTGCTGGTGGAAGTTTCAGCAGTGCCAATTTGCGTCTCATTCATGGATGTAACAAGATTGATTTTTACAGCTCTTGGATGTGCACACCAAGTACAAACATTAAATGTGAAATTGAAAGTAACAAGTCTGATGTGCATATATTGTGTATATATGTGTACGAAACTAACAGATGTGAAAAGTTAAGTTTGGCGTATAGATAACGTTTCTGTAAATTCTTCTTGGTTACCTTCTGCATGGTGTGCAACAGGTATAGAAACTCGGCCCTGTCACGCACGGAGGCCAGCTCGCCGCCCATCAGCGTGCAGGACAGGCGGGCGTGGATCCAGCTCAAGGGTTGCTGCACAAACAGATACTCATCGCCCTGGTGATGCAGCCACTGCGTGTCGCCGCTCACTGCAACGCAAGCGGGAAGCACAGCAGAGCTCTCAGTACGCCGCACGTCGTACGTACGGACGAACCTCGTGGATGACGGGGGTCAGTGGAACACAGTCACGTGTTCATCAACGATCGAGAAGCATTATGCCTGCAACAGATGCGTTACTCAACGTAATCGGGTAGCACTGCATGCATAATACTCAGCTTGTCCGCACACGACGCAGAAAAATAGATGTGGCTTCCGCTAACCACGTACACTCCACACATGAAATAACAAGCAATAACTGCATGATAATGTGTCATTTATTATTAAGAATTAATAACAATTTACTGCCCTTTTTCAATCCACTGCTGGATGTCTACCCATGGTTATCTGACCATACTTCACCTCACTGCTCAGTATGGATTGGTATAATGGGGTGAACTCACACCGGTTCAGTTAAAATTGGCCACTGATGTCAGCCATGGCCAGATATCAAACTCAGGTCTCCGGCCTCACATTGCAGTGCGAGAACCATTGAGCCACTGCCCCCCAACAACCAATTCATAACTCTTAACTGATTAGAAATGCAGCTGCCAATTCAGTACTCGGCTTACAAGCAGTGCAAAGCTGATTAACATGTATATGGGAACACAGTGACTGCAGCCAATCACAAAAAACAACAGCAAGTGTATAAGTAAGCTAATCCATGATAGTTGGTTCACCAACCATCCAGTTTTTGCCTGGACAGTCAGGGCTTTTGATCGAGTTCAACAATGTCTGTATCTATGTATGGTGAACTTCTTTAACAACCAACATGTCTGGTTGACACCTTCATCTGGACATCAAATTCCATTGTTTGGAATATAATGGCATCGTGAAAAACGTGTACGGAGTGGCGTGCTTGATGGAATGTGGAGCCTAGCACTTTCCCTGCGTAAGGCATGACATGTGCTTAATGGAACCGGGTTAGCCAATTAATAACGATTGATTTACTACATTTGCAATAAAACAAGTAATGTACCAACAATAGACCCTTGGGACCAGCCGCCGAACCGACCGAGTAATATAACTACACCACATTGCAGTAGACAAACAGTAATTTGTTTACTGGGATAAGTAAAACTCCCTTTTATCAAGCACACAAGGCCTCACAGCGCTTCAACACATTAAAACTAAGCGGAAAACAACCCGACACAGACAGTAAAATATACACACACTGCTAACGATGATAGATTCCATACATACACACATATACACGGGGTTACTGTTTTTTTGTGACAAGATTTTCATTACGTTTGTAGCTAGCTATACAATAACAGCTGGCCGGACCAGGACTCCCTCATATTAGTTCCGCTAGCAGAGCTCTTACTACTTTGAGGTGTTTTGACATTTGCAAACACTGCGCTGTAAAGTCATACAACATAACATAGCCAAAGATTACCCTGTATAGCCCCAACAGACTGTAAGAGGCAAGTGCTGTTAGCCAGCAAATGAGTACCCTAGTGCCATGTGTAAACATCAACAATAGGGAGACAAAAGCGGCCGGGCGTGGTTGCTGGCCATCCATGCCCCCCTATGCTGTTCCGGCCTTCATTGGTGCTCGCTAACAGCACTTGCCCCAACAGTCTGTGAAGGCTATACGGGGGGTCTTTGTCTTTTTCTCTGCCTACACAGTTTGGAACAGTAGGGCATAGTAGGGGGCAATCATCTCAAGTCAGTCGACCCATGCCACCTGGGTCTGTCCCGTGACCTCCTGCCAGCGGACGTTAGACACTTCACGTGGCATTAAAGTGCACATAGCCTGGCACAAGCGCCGTGGTTATGTCACCGCCACTTAGTGGTGAATTGCGGTTGTTGTTGCTCTGCCCAGAATTGTAGCACAAGCCAAAGGTGGCTTTGCAGAGGTTAAATATGATGACATTAATGATGATATAAAAACGATGTTGATAATGATAATAATTATGAGTATCATGGAAGTGATGATGCTGTATGATAACTTTGGTAATGATGAAGATGATCACGATGATAGTGATGAACATCATGACGGTGCATCTGCTCCAGCTTATGATATTCCACCACCCCTCCCCCCCCATTTGCTCATGATCCACCAGCTACGATCGGCCCCTTTCTCTTGGCAATCCACCTATACTTGTCTCCAAAATCCTGGACTGCAGGTGTGCAGTCGTGCCAACGTGAAGACCAGATAGCCATTTAAAGCTGAGTTGACATAGAGGAGGTGTTAACAGATGCCATTGATGTAAGCCATGGACAACAATCGAGTTTCAGGTCACTGGTTTCACAAAGGCCCTACGCATCATCATGATCAGTTAAACAGCATCTGCACGGGCAAAATAACATCATTACCTTAAACTTCGTCGCGTGCGTGACTGCCACAATTCTGTTGCTTTTCACGCTGTTTTAACGGCTAAAACCTGCTTGGATTTATTTTTGGAAATGCCATGAAAAAAGACTGCAGAATGGACCAGCCGAAGACGCGCACCACGACAAGGCGAACTGGAGCACCACGCCTACACAGCCTCCCACCAATGGTGAAAACCTCCAGACATTGTTTGGCACTACCATCACTCCACACTGGTGTAAAGATTAGTAGCAGTGGAATCAGTTCTTGTGAGTGTACAATCGGTCCCCCGTGAATTAAAATGTTTGGAGAGTGAACGATTTTTTTCACCAGCACGGCCGTCATTTCGTCAAACTGTAGCAAAAATTATGGCCAAAAGGGCAACGCGAGTCGGATCCAAAAATGTTAGTCTAGGAAGAACGTGTAAAATAAGTTACAAAAACTGACACCAAGAGTAGTGTACTCAAGTGGTATGGTACACACTGAAATAGATGTGCATTAATTTACTGATAAATGACAGGATCAAAAGAATGAGGCACGGCACACTATGGGTCGTTTCATAGGACCTCTCTTGCCAGTATCAAAATAATAGAAAGGTTTTACCCTTTCTGGCAATAAAACAGGTGTTAAGATATTAAAACACCAAACTGAAACCTTTCGCAAGGATTACTCTTTGGTTCTTTCGGTAAAGTCACGTAGAAAGAAATTAAATAATAGAATACGATCTTTCGATTGCAACACAAGCAACCATCATCAGGTACACATGAATGAGAAAACAAACCTAGTAAACTTTGGATTGCGAGTAACTTGGTCTGCGAGTGTTTTGCAAGACGAGCAAAACATTTTCAGTACATTTTAACTTGTGTATACTGTTTACTACAGTACTATAGTGTTGTGACCACGTGTATACTGTTTACTACAGTACTATAGTGTTGTGACCACGTGTATACTGTTTACTATAGTACTACAGTGTTGTGACCACGTGTATACTGTTTACTACAGTACTATAGTGTTGTGACCACGTGTATACTGTTTACTACAGTACTATAGTGTTGTGACCACGTGTATACTGTTTACTACAGTACTATAGTGTTGTGACCACGTGTATACTGTTTACTACAGTACTATAGTGTTGTGACCACGTGTATACTGTTTACTACAGTACTATAGTGTTGTGACCACGTGCATACTGTTTACTACAGTACTATAGTGTTGTGACCACGTGTATACGGTTTACTACAGTACTATAGTGTTGTGACCACGTGTATACTGTTTACTACAGTACTATAGTGTTGTGACCACGTGTATACTGTTTACTACAGTACTAAAGTGTTGTGACCACGTGTATACTGTTTACTACAGTACTATAGTGTTGTGACCACGTGTATACTGTTTACTACAGTACTATAGTGTTGTGACCACGTGTATACTGTTTACTACAGTACCATATTGTGACCACGTGTATACTGTTTACTACAGTACTATAGTGTTGTGACCACGTGTATACTGTTTACTACAGTACTATAGTGTTGTGACCACGTGTATACTGTTTACTACAGTACTATAGTGTTGTGACCACGTATATACTGTTTACTACAGTACTATAGTGTTGTGACCACGTGTATACTGTTTACAACAGTACTATAGTGTTGTGACCACGTGTATACTGTTTACTACAGTACTATAGTGTTGTGACCACGTGTACACTGTTTACTACAGTACTATAGTGTTGGGACCACGTGTATACTGTTTACTACATTACTGTAGTGTTGTGACCACGTATGTACTGTTTACCACAGTACTATAGTGTTGTGACCACGTGTATACTGTTTACTACAGCACTATAGTGTTGTGACTACGTGTATATTGTTTACTATAGTACTATAGTGTTGTGACCACGTGTATACTGTTTACTACAGCACTATAGTGTTGTGACTACGTGTATATTGTTTACTACCGTACTATAGTGTTGTGACTACGTGTATACTGTTTACTACAGTACTATAGTGTTGTGACCACGTGTGTACTGTTTATTACAGTACTACAGTATAGCGACCACGTGTGTACTGTTTACTATAGTACTATAGTGTTGTGACCACGTGTATACTGTTTACTATAGTACTATAGTGTTGTGACCACGTGTGTACTGTTTACTATAGTACTATAGTGGTGTGACCACGTGTATACTGTTTACTACAGTACTAGTGTTGTGACCACGTGAATACTGTTTACTACAGTACTATAGTGTTGTGACCACGTGTATACTGTTTACTATAGTACTATAGTGTTGTGACCACGTGTATACTGTTTACTCCAGGACTATAGTGTTGTGACCACGTGTGTACTGTTTACTATAGTACTATAGTGTTGTGACCACGTGTATACTATTTACTACAGTACTATAGTGTTGTGACCACGTGTATACTGTTTACTACAGTACTGTAGTGTTGTGACCACGTATGTACTGTTTACCACAGTACTATAGTGTTGTGACCACGTGTATACTGTTTACTACAGTACTGTAGTGTTGTGACCACGTGTATACTGTTTACTGCAGTAATATAGTGTTGTGACCACGTGCATACTGTTTACTACAGTACTATAGTGTTGTGACCACGTATATACTATTTACTACAGTACTATAGTGTTGTGACCACGTGTGTACTGTTTACCACA